GCTCCATCCCAAGACCGTGGGATCATGATCTGAGCAGAAGGCAGACTCTTAACCAACTGAGCCACCCAGTTTTTCCCTAGAAATTTCTTTTAAAAAATTTTATTTTTTTATTTATTCATGAGAGACACAGAGAGAGGCAGAGACACAGGCAGAGGGAGGAGAAGCAGGCTTCCATGCAGGAGCCCAATGCGGGACCCATCCCAGAACTCTGGAGGCAAAGGCAGACACTCAGCTGCTGAGCCACCCAGGTGTCCCTCCCTAGAACTTTCTTAATGACATTTTCTTTTCTCTAGCTTATATTACCGTAAGAGTTCAGTATGATATGTATAACATTCAAAATATATGTTAACCAACTGTTTATGTTGTTGGTAAGACTTTCAGGGCAGCCCGGGTGGCTCAGCGGTTTAGCGCTGCTTTCAGCCCAGGGCCTGATCCTGGAGACCCAGGGTTGAGTCCCACATCCAGCTCCCTGTAAGGATCCTGCTTCTCCCTCTCCCTGTGTCTCTGCCTCTCTCTCTCTCTCTCTCTCTCTCTCTCTCTTTCTGTCTCTCATGAATAAATAAATAAAATCTTTTTTTTTTTAAAAGACTTCCAGTCAACAGTAGGCTATTAGTAGTTAAGTTCTGGGGGACACAAAAGTTACACAGATTTTTGACTATAAGGGATGTGAGTGCCCCTAACCCCCATGTTGTTCAAGGGTCAACTACACAGCATTCCCCATTTGTTGTAACTTTGTTGTCTCCAAGGAAACTGAGTCCGCTTCACATTCTGGAGCTACTGTTGACCCTAGTATTCATTCTACTTTGTTGTGAGCTTACTAACACTTTGCTGCATTGAACTTTCACCAAAACTCCGCACTCCCTCAACACTATAATGACTCTTTCCCTTGGTTTAGTATAAAGCTCCTTAGTCCCTCCAGTGTGCCGTCTCTCTTGTTGCAGTGAGGTGATAAAGCTGATTTGTGAGACCAATAGGTATGCTTCTGATGCTCTTACGTTGACTGCGCTAGGATGTATGTGACTCTCCACACACAGCTCTATTGTCCTGAACATCCTAGTGGTCCTATTCTCATTATTCTCTTCCCACCCATGATCCATCATGTAGGTAGTTCCTCCATCCCCACCCACGGTAACTCACCAGCCAAAAGCTCAGTCTTGATAATGGTCCAACACCTACCACAGCGTCAAATAGAGAGATGAGGACGCTGTCCCAGGGCTGCAAATATCCATTTGGCTTAGTCCCATGTGTTGGCATTTGGCTCATAGTAACTGGGTCCGTGCCCGTGGTGAGTGGGCCTATTTTATGCGAAGTGGTGCTGCTTCCAGGAGTGGTGGTTGGCTCCTGGGTAGATCTCATCCTGGTGTTCCTGGTACCTGGAACAGAGCTGATAGATGGTGCTCAACAGTGGATGTACCCAGTCAGAGGTATCTGGGCTTCCTCAGGTACAATATTCCTGGTAGCAGGGGACATGGAGTCCATTGCAGGGGCCATGGTGACAGAGATGGGGCAGTTGGTCTCGTTCCAGTGGTCCTGGTGCCTAGGAAGCAAGTCACATGATATGATGCATTTATACTGACAATAATTGAGAAGGAGGCAGGTGTACTGAGAGCAGAAGGGTTGATCTAACACACTAATCACGTTGGTTGTTTGAGAAGAGCTACATGGTGGGAGAAGAGATGGTAGAAAGTGGTTCACCTGAAGCCATGAGGTCCCCAGAGTAGAGGTGAGTGTCTTACAGAAGAGGAGGTATACTATGTCCACTGGTGGTGCTGGTGATGGTGATAGTGATGGTGATGGTGATGGTGGAGGCTAAAACTGAGGAAATGTGACTGGGTTTGATGCAGCGATCATCCAAATAGAGAGTGTGGGCTGGGATAAAAGGGAGAGGGTCTGATATTATTGTGATGTACTCTCTGGGCATAAGGATGTTGTTAGAGGAAGGAATGATGGACTCAGATTTACTCAGGATGAGACAGGGGCCATCACTGGGAGAACAGCTGACACCACAATCGTGGTTGTCAACAAAGGTGAGGTGAGTGTGCTCAGAACATACAGTGGCATTTCTATACACTAACAATGAGACTGAAGAAAGAGAAATTAAGGAGTCAATCCCATTTACAATTGCACCCAAAAGCATAAGATACCTAGGAATAAACCTAACCAAAGAGGTAAAGGATCTATACCCTAAAAACTATAGAACACTTCTGAAAGAAATTGAGGAAGACACAAAGAGATGGAAAAATATTCCATACTCATGCATTGGAAGAATTAATATTATGAAAATGTCAATGTTACCCAGGGCAATGTACACATTCAATGCAATCCCTACCAAAATACCATGGACTTGGGCAGCCCGGGTGGCTCAGCGGTTTAGCGCCTGCCTTCGGCCCAGGGCCTGATCCTGGAGTCCCTGGATCGAGTCCCACATCGGGCTCCCTGCATGGAGCCTGCTTCTCCCTCTGCCTGTGTCTCTGCCTCTCTCTCTGTGTGTGTCTCTCATGAAAAATAAGTAAAATCTTAAAAAAAATACCATGGACTTTCTTCAGAGAGTTGGAACAAATCATCTTTTTTTTTTTTTTTGGAACAAATCATCTTAAGATTTGTGTGGAATCAGAAAAGACCCCGAACAGCCAGGGGAATATTGAAAAAAAAAAAAAAACCAGAGCCAGGGGCATCACAATGCCAGATTTCAGGTTGTACTACAAAGCTGTGATCATCAAGACGGTGTGGTACTGGCACAAAAACAGACACATAGATCAATGGAACAGAATAGAGAACCCAGAAATAAACCCTCAACTCCATGGTTGACTACTATTCGACAAAGCAGGAAAAACTATCCACTGGAAAAAGGACAGTCTCTTCAATAAATGGTGCTGGGAAAATTGGACAGCCATGTGCAGAAGAATGAAACTAGACCACTCTCTTTCACCATACACAAAGATAAACTCAAAATGGATGAAAGATCTAAATGTGAGACAAGAATCCATCAAAATCCTAGAGGAGAACACAGGCAACAGCCTTTTTGAACTTGGCCACAGGAACTTCTTGCAAGATACATCTGAAGGCAAGGAAAACAAAAGCAAAAATGAACTATTGAGACTTCATCAAGATAAGAAGCTTCTGCACAGCCAAAGAAATAGTCAACAAAACTAAAGACAACCTACAGAATGGGAGAAGATATTTGCAAATGACGTATCAGATAAAGGGCTAGTTTCCAAGATCTATAAAGAACTTATTAAACTCAAGAGCAAAGAAACAAACAATCCAATCATGAAATGGGCAAAAGACATGAACAGCAATTTCACCAAAGAAGACATAGACATGGCCAACAAGCACATGAGAAAATGCTCTGCATCACTGGCCATCAGGGAAATACAAATCAAAACCACAATGAAATACCACGTCACACCAGTGAGAAAGGTGAAAATTAACTAGACAGGAAACAACAAATGTTGGAGAGGATGCGGAGAAAAGGGAACCCTCCTGCACTGTTGGTGGGAATGTGAACTGGTGCAGCCACTCTGGAAAACTGTGTGGAGGTTCCTCAAAGGGTTCAAAATAGATCTGCCCTAGACCTAGCAATTGCACTGCTGGGGATTTACCCCAAAGATACAGATGCAATGAAATGCCGGGACACCTGCACCCCGATGTTTCTAGCAGCAATGTCCACAATAGCCAAACTGTGGAAGGAGCCTCGGTGTCCATCGAAAGATGAATGGATAAAGAAGATGTGGTCTATGGATACAATGGAATATTCCTCAGCCATTAGAAACGACAAATACACACCATTTGCTTCAACGTGGATGGAACTGGAGGGTATGATGCTGAGTGAAGTAAGTCAATCAGAGAAGGACAAACTTTATATGCTTTCATTCATTTGGGGAATATAAAAAATAGTGAAATTGAATAAAGGAGAAAGGAGGGAAAATGAGTGGGAAATATCAGTGAGGGCGATGAGAGACTCCTAACTCTGGGAAACGAACAAGGGGTAGTGGAAGGGGAGGTGGGTGGGTTTGGGGTGACTGGGTGATGTGCACTGAGGGGGGCACTTGACAGGATGAGCACTGGGGTTATACTATATGTTGGCAAATCGAACCTCAATAAAAAAAAATACAAAAAAAAAAAAGACAGGAGGACCTAATACATACAGCAGGTGGCATCAGCAGCAAGGGCTGTGCTTAGACTGGAAGTGGTTGTGTTGATGCAAGAACATGTCAGTCACCGGAACAGCAGTGGGTAGCTCAGAACAAAGTGGTAGAGTCACATCCAACACGAGTATGGATGGCAAGCACAGAGGTGCTTTTATTCAGAACAAGTGCCAGAATATGAAAAAATAATTTTGGTCTTAATCGACCTTGGAGCAAAGGTTGGCAAACACCTTCTCTAAAGGGTCATGATATGGCAAACTTTTAAATTGGGTCACAAAGTCTCTGTCACAAGTATGCAAAGTAGCTGGAAAGCAGCTATAGACGTAAAGGAGTACAAGTGGCTGTGTTCCAATAACATCTCATTTGGGAAAACAGATAACAGCCAGATTTGGCCCATGAAGTGTAGTTTGCAGTCCCTGGATCAGGGCTCAATATATTGAAGATGAGATGGCAGTGTCACAGGTGGTGGATGGAACAGAGCTGATTGTGCTTGGCACAGAAGTGACAGCATCTGACAAATTGGGATGTTTGTCACAGAGTTGAGGTGAGTTCCCTCTAGGCAGAAGTGATGGAATATAATGAGCTTGTGTGTGTGTGTGTGTGTGTGTGTGTGTGTGTGTGTGTGTAGGGGGGATACTTGCAAAGAAGTGTTTCTGGTTGGGTTAGAAATGGATGATGAACAAAAGAAGGTGAGACAGAGTAGAAATGAATAGGATTCAAGAAGAGGGAGCAGAAGTATAGGAGTGGTAGCTTGACTAGAGTCTAGAGCAGAAATGACAGAAACGGGCAAAAAGATGATGGTTAACACTGGAGGTAAATGTGTGTGCTTAGAGAAGAGATGGTGGTCAGTACCTGATATAGCTGTGTTGGTGATGGACTGAATAGAAAAGTCAATGGCTTTGGTGGGCACTGAGGTGATGGAAGAGTCTGTGAAAGGTTCAGAGACACTGGTGGGGACTGTGGAGACTGTGGGGACCCCAGAGGCAGAAGTAGAGGCTAGGGTGGGTGATGAGGACAAAGCGAGAGATGTGGTGACCTCTGAGGCTGTGGTGGGTCCAGAAGGTGATATGGAAGCTTTGGTCCCCAGAATCTGTGGAAGAAAATATGATGGGCCCAGATGCTGAGACAGAAAGTGTGGTGCTCTTAGACTCTGTGGTTGAGACAGTCAGGGTCTCTGCAGATGGAATTGTTGTGGAGAGCACAAACTCTCCAAGCATCACAAAAATTTTAGTGGATACTGTCAGTGCCTCAGAGGCTATGGTAGAGGCCACAGTGTTGTCAGAGAGATCAGTTGATGCTTTAGTGGTCTCAGTGGTGGTGGTGGAGGCCATGGTAATCTCAAAAACTGTGTTCTTAGAGCTTGTAATGGGCCCACATATAATTGTGGAGGCCATGGTGGTCTCAGAGACCTTGGTAGAGGCCCCAGAAGCCTCAAAGTCTGGGATAGAGGCTGTCATTGGCATGGATGCTGTAATGCTGCACCTGAGGGCCTCTGAAGTTGTTTGAGAGACTAGGATAGTTGAAGAACTTATGTTGATTTCAGAGGCTATGCTGAAGGCTGTGGTTAGAATGGACCTTGTGGTGGAGGAGTAATTATCTTGAAAGCTGTGCTGGGAGCACTGGTGGTCTCAGAGTCTGTGGTGATAAGTATGATGGGCATAGATGTTATGGAAGAACCCAGAGTGGTCTCAGAAGTAATGGTGGAGACCATGGTGGTCTCAGAGACTGTTGTGTTCTTAGCACCTGTAGTAGAAGCTATGGGGAGCAGAGATATTATTGTGGAAGATGTGGTGGTCTCAGAGACTATGCTGAAGGCCACAGTGGACTCAAAAGCTGTAGTAGAGACTATCATGGGTGGAGCTGCCATGGTGGAGGATCTGGTGATATTAGAGGTGGTGGGAGGGACCATGGTGAAGTCAGAATCTTTGGTGGTCTCAGAGGCTGTGGTAGTTTCAGAGGCTATGGCAGAGAATGTGGTGGGCATGGATGCTGTAGTGGTTTCAGCAGGTCTTGCCACACTTGTGGGAGGCACAGACTCTGAAGCTGTGACAGAGGCTTTAGTGAAAACCCTAGTCATCTCTGAGGCTGTGGTAGAGGCCAGAGTGCTCTCGGAAGCTTCCATGGAAACCAACGTGTTCTCAGCATTGGTGGTGGAGGCCATGGTGGTATTAGAGGCTGTTGTGGTCTTAGAGCTTATTTTAAGGGTATCCATGGGCCCAGGCATTATTATGGAAGACATGGTATGGTAGTCTCGGAGACCATGATGAAGAGCACAGTGCATTCAGAGGCTGAGGTGATCTCAAAGGCAGTGTTGGAGAAAGTGGTTGACACAGACATGGTAGTGGAAGGTGGGATGATCTCAGGGGCTGTAGTAGAAGCTATGGTGGCATCCAAGCTTATGGAGATTTCAGAGGTGAAGGAGGATGCCATTGTGGGCACACATATTGATGTGGAGGGCATGGTGATCTCAGAGCCTATGCTGGACAGACTCTGCAGTGGCATTTGAAGCTGCAGTGGAATCTATGGTGGCCTTAGGGCTTGTGGTGATTTCAGAGGTCATAGTGAAGACTGTGGCAGGCACATATGTCATCATGGAGGAAGAGGTGGTCTCAGAGCCTGTGATGGGCTTGGCAGTTATTGGGGTGACTAAGGAGGGCACGGACTTAGTGTTTGTCACAAGGGTTTTAATGGAAACTGTAGTGGTATCAGGGGCTGCGTTAGAGGTCATAGTGGGTACAGAGGCTGTGGTGGAGACAGCGATGGCCTGACAGGCTGAGTTGCTCTGAGGCCTACGGAGGAGTCCGTCATGGAGACCCACTGTGTGGTGGCCCCTGGGGCTGCAGTGGTCTTGGTTGTGTGCCTAGAAGCTGTGATAAGGGACATGGAGGGTTCAGAGGCTGTGCTGGGCCCAGGAGCTATAGTCCTCCTTAAAGTACATTAATTTTTATTCAGGAATCATTCTCACTTTTGCATTTATTTTAAAGATTTTTTTAAAAAAGTAATATCTATGTCTGATATAGGGCTTGAACTACAACACCGAGATCAACAGTCACATGCTTGGGGCGCCTGCGTGGCTCAGTGGGTTAAGCATCTGACTTCAGCTCAGGTCATGACCTCAGAGTCCTGGGATGGAGCCCCATGTGGGCTCTGTGCTCAACAGGGAGTCTGCTTCTCCCTCTCCCTTTGCCCCTCCTCTTGCTTGTGCCCTCTCTCTCTGTCTCTCATACAAATAAATAAAATCTTAAAAAAAAAAAGTTGCACTCTCCACTGACTGCTGGACCGACCAAGCCACCCAGGCACCCCAATTTGTGCATTTTTTTAAATTTAATTGGGAGCATTGCCCATCTTTGTCATTCTTGCGTCTGTTGAGTCAGCAGAACTATGTTACCCATGCATGTGGAAGCATGTACCTTATAGGGTGAAGCTATGGTAGTTCTTTCCTCTTCCTCTTCCTTTTTTTTAAATTTTATTTTTATGCAGATGCCATGGGCATGACTGCTGACTCAACTGTGCTGTTGAATGAATGAATCATTTGGTCTCTGTGCTTTCCTCTTTCCTCAAGAATTTTACTAATCAGAATCCTCAGGTTTTGGTTTCTGTGGGTTTTTTTCTCACTCTATGTGCCTAGGGGAATCATCTCATTTAACACATGGTAAAGAGGCAACACAAACAGAAACTGCGTATCATCTCTCTAACACTAAGGATTGTTGGAGCTCAGATAAAGGGTAAAATGTGTTGTTCAAAAACATAGAGGTCATGTGGACAGATCTCAGAAGCACTCCCTAAGCTAGGTGGAAGTAAGGAGACGTCACACCAAAAAGGGAGGGCACTTGAGCAGAGACCCCCTTCACTCTCTGGGACTCTCATACTGTCCCTGCCTGAGGAGAGCTTATGGGTTGTTATGCTTGAAAGGAAGGCAGTCAGGCTGTAAATTGGATAAGGCCAGATGTTGCTGGGTCTCTTGAGGCAGTCAAGGTCAGAACTGATATGTTAGGCAGTAGTAAAAGTTCTCTTAGTAAAGAGACACAAGAAAATGGTAGGAGGAGATACTTGGGATGATTTCTTTCTTTCCTTTATTTACTTTTTAAAAAGTATAAAGTGCTAGAACAAGTGGTAGCAGTGGGAATGGATTAGAGAAGAATCTAGGAGATTCTTGATTGCTCTAAGTTCCTCTCTGATAGGCATTCTCTGTGTCTAGAACTTCTCATTCATTCATTCGAAAATATTCCTTAAGAAGCTTCCATAAGGCATGTGGTATTTCAGGCATGGGACATAGTGGTAAAAAATTAGGTAGGAAGCTCTCCCAAGTAAGGGAGAAAGGCAATGAATAAGTAAATAGGTAACATCAGAAACAAAGAAACAAAAATCTGTAAAACTCTAACTAGGGCTCTTTCAGGGCCCAAAAGGAAGAGGCCCTCTTGATCTTAAGGTGAGGGAGAGACTGTGGGTCAAAAGAGAAACGAAGAGCTAGAACATCTTACCAAAGGAGAGAAATACCTGAAAACTGCTTTAAAAAAAATGCAAGCCAGATTATGACAGTGCCACTTCTGAATATGGAAAAGAAAATCTTCTGAGCAACAGGCATAATGTTGAAGGAGATGCAGAAACTATGAACTAATGCAGGTGCTTGGGTGGTTCCGTTGGTTAAGTGTCTGACTCTTGGTTTCAGCTCGGGTCATGATCTCATGGGTCGTGAGATCGAGCCCCATGTCGGGCTCCTTGCTTAGTAAGGAGTCTGCTTAAAGATTCTCACCTCTGCCCCTCCCCCTCTCACGAGAAAAGCACTCTCTACACAGCATCCCTGTAGGCATTGGAACTGTAGGCACTAGAACTAGCTGGAAAGCTCAGAGAAAATGCAGATCCGGAAAAGTCTGCACAATTCCATCAGCAGCCAACATACTTGAAAGTGAGGACCACTTCCACAGGCATTTGAAGGCTTAGGGCAGGCCTCTAGACTGCTGGCACAAGAATTGACCAGGGAGCAGTGTATTCAGAAAAGAAAAACATTTATAAGGACATTAAGAACTATTCACCTGGTTATAAGAAAACGGTTGCTCAAGTCTTAGTTCACATATTCGGAAATGGCCACAGAAAGGGGCTTCAGGGAGAGGTCTAGCACACCAGGTGCCCATGGAGGTCACAGCTGTGTTGCCCTAGCACAGCTTCTGGAAGGATATGACCAGAAAGGCCAAGCTGCACCATCGGAGGTCCCTACCCATGTTTCAAGTACCTGGACAGCAACAAGGTGAAACCAGGCCTGAGCGTGGTGATTCCAGGAGGCGGAATCAGGAAGAAGTCACCAGCAATGGTTGCACAACCATGTGCATGTACTTAATGCCACTGAACTGTACACTTTAAAAATGGTTAAAATGGTAGATTTATGTTATGTATATTTTACTACAATACAAATTTTGAGAAAGAGAAAGGAGGAGGAGGAAGAGGAAATCAGCCACATCACCACAGGCCAAGCCTGACGCTGTCCCCACCACAGAGCTGATGAAGAGGAAGGTGCATATTCAGAAAATTCTGCTAGCATTCTGCTTTGCAAAAAGAAAAGGAAGAATTCTGGAATGCCATCTCCTGGACTGGGAGCCTACCGAAGAGCATTCCATACTTCCCTGTGGCTGTGCCTGGCAATGCTAACAAGGACTGCAATTTTTAGTTGCCCATTACCCAAATCACTGGTCTGCACCTGCTACCTGTGAAACATTTTTTAAATTCTTTCTGTAAGAGCTTTCTTAAGACACAAGCAGGAGTTAACAGCAAATGTGCTGTCATGTTTTAACACAGTTGATTTTTAAATTTGTGAGCCAAATGCTAGATAAATTATGTTCTGAGAAACTAAGGTAATAGGCTTGGATTATTCTCTCTTGGGCTTGTGTAATTTGCTATCAGAGAATTTATTTTTCGTTTTATTTAGTAATTGCTGCTGAAAATGAGGTTAACTGATAAGAAAATTAGAAATTTAAAATTGTGTTTTGTTTTGAAAAGGATATTAATTCCACATGATATTGGATATATATACATTATTAAGTCTTTTCAGAGGCAAAATTGGGACAGGAAACTATTTTGAGTCTTGCAATATTACTTAGCCCAATAAAAGATGCATTTAAGGTCTTTGTTAAAAATCTATAAATAGCAATATAATATGAATGTGTGATGTTTAAGTCTGTAGGTGTAAATATCAGGAGAAAAACTAAAAGTTAAGAGCTGCCACCTCTGGATAGCAAACATCAGATGTGAAGGGGGCGGGTGCATCAGAGATAGCTATTTTTTGTAATGAATCTATAGGACAACTGGACTTTAAAACTATTCACATGAATTACTCTGATAAAATTTGCAAAGGAAATATATATACAGTGAGTAGAAGATGAGAAAATAGAGATTGTGTTTTTAGGAATGATTTCAAGAAACTTGGCAATGACAGAGGGCAGAGCTGGGAAAAATATGGGCTTGTTAAGATGGATGCTGGAAGAACAGAACTTTTCAAAGTGTGGCCCCTGGCCCAGAGGCTTCAAGATTGGTTGGGAGCTTGTTAAAATGCAGATCCCAGCCCCAACCCCAAACTTACTGACTCAGGAACCCCAAGGGACAGGGGCCAAAACCTACATTTTAGAAATAATATCGCATATATGCAATGAAATATTATTTAGCCATAAAAAAGGAAATCCTGCCATTTGTGACAACATGGATGGACCTTGAAGGCATTATGCTAAGCGAAGTAAGTCAAACAGAGAAAGACAAATACTGTATGATCTCACTTATATGTGGATGCTATAACAAAACAGCTCATAGATACAGAGAACAGATTGGTGGTTACCAGAGGCAGGGGGTGGGAGTGGGCAAAATGAGTAAAAAGGATCAGAAGGTACAACTTCCAGTTATAAGATAAGTAAGTCTTGGGGATGTAATGTACAGCATGGGGACCATAGTTAATAATACTGTGTTGTGTATTTCAAAGTTACACAGAGTGTAGATCTTAAGTTTTCAACACGCACATGCAAAAATTGCAATTATATGTGGTGATGGATGTTAACTAGGCTTATTGTGGTGATCATGTCTCAATATATACAAATATCTAATCATTTTGTTATACACTTGAAACTAACATAATGTTATATATCAATTGTACCTCAATAAAAAAAGAATTTTTAATAAATAAATAAGTAGACAAATAGAATCTCTTACTGGTGATTCTTGTGCACACTGTTCTAGAGCGTGGATGACAATGGGAAGGACCTGGAGAAGAAGGGGAAGTAGACAGAGTGTTGGGGAGGGGGTTAGAAACCTACGGAAAGGCAATACAGGTTAGAAGGACTCCTCCAATGTTAAGAGCGATCAGGGAGGGAGAGAATGGATGCAGATGAGGGAAATTGTAGAGACCTGATGGTGGGAAGATGAGGCGGTGCCTGTTAGCATTTTTGCACACTTGTAACTCTTCTGTATTTATGTGTCATTCCTTGTGTGATATCTGCCTTTCCCAGTGGACTGTGAGATCCCTAAAGGCAGGACCTGTTGTTGCTTTGTTCACTGATGTATCTTCAGATCTAGCATGGAAGAAATGCTCCAAAAATGTTTGCTGGACAAACATGTTCAATATGACATGACATCTAAGTGAAGTTGTTATGGGAAAAATAAGCCTGGAAATACAGGACTGGATTTCAGAGCAAATACAGGCTAGAGATGAGTCTGGAAGCTATCTGCAGTACTAATGGTTCAAGCTGAAGGAGTTCGCGGAGAGACCGGGAGGAGAAAAAGAATAGAATGTGCAAGACAACAGTCTCCAGGGCAGAGTCACTGGGAGACACCAGAGAGAGGGCACAAGAAAAATAAAATATCAATGATTGCACACTACATATGAAACTAAGTATGTACTTTATGTTGGCTAATCGAATTTAAATTTTAAAAAAGAAACAAATATCAAAGGAAAAAGAAAAAAAACACCATCCAAAAGTCCTTTTGTTCATTTAACCCAGGCCTGTTCCTATCAAATCCACACCTACCTGGCCTACTCCCTTTTCAGGCATTCCATCCTACAGTGGAAATGAAGAGCCTTTATAAGTTATTTGGCATTGGTTTTATTTCTTATTTTATTTTTTTAAAGATTTTATTCATTTATTCATGAAGACACACAGAGAGAGGCAGAGACACAGGCAGAGGGAGAAGCAGGCTCCCTGCAGGGAGCCCGATATGGGACTCGATCCCAGGACCCCAGGATCACGCCCTGAGCCAAAGCCAGACACTCAACCGCTGAGCCGCCCAGGTGCCTCTGGCATTGGTTTTAATAATTAAAAAGGGGAAGGCACCTGGGCGGCTCAGTGGTTGAGTGTCTGCCTTTGGCTCAGGGCGTGATCCCGGGGTCCTGGGATTGGTCCCGCATTGGGCTCTTCGCAGAAAGCCTGCTTCTCCCTCTGCCTGTGTCTCTGTCTCTCTGTGTGCCTCTCATGAATAAAAAAATAAAATCTTAAAAGAAAAGAAAAAGGAAATTGTTATCCAGAATGCCTGGGTTCTACAGCAGGAGTGGGCTGCAGAGGACAAGTTGATGTCTGGACTCTCATTAGGACATGAAGTTTCAAGAAGAATTAAAAGCTTACTAGGGCCAGGGTTGTGGGATCAGTAAGATCAGTTGGGATAAGTTACATGGTAGAAGGAAGCCAGGGACTGGAACAGCTGGACTCTTGGGTTCCAACACTTTCTGTACAATATGCCCGGCTCACTTTGCTGTCTCACTGGCCATTGCTGTGGGCTTTATAGTTGCTGCTGGGGGCGGCTGGGGGCAGGGAAGGTACATAACTTTTGGGCCCCTTCTCTCCAGGGAGGGGCATCTCTGACAATTTAGACATGTAGGAACAGGGAAGGAGAGAGAGCAAGAGACTCAAACCTGTCAGAGGAAAGGAGACCCATCATTGGGACCAGAAGTCAGCAAAAACCTGTTTTCTCTGGGGATGTCTTATTTCTGGAACAGAGGCCTTTGTAGGAGGCAGAAGTGAGAAAAATGAGGATGACTGGGCCCCAGGTCGTTGGATCTTCTTACCACACCAGCAGTCACTGTCCAGAAACAGGTGTGCTGGCACAGTCAGCTGCAAGGGGCACTGGTGCTGGCACAGAGGGCAGAGCACTGTGACTGAGTCCAGTGAATGAGTCTCAGAAGGTAACAGAGGCTGTCAGGACAGACCCTGGCCCAGTGGGGCCAGAAGAACGGAACTCTGGGAAGTCCAAGGGGCTGAAAGGGGAGACCTGGCCTCTGGAAGAAGGAGCTGGATGCTGTCTTGCACAAACCTCAATACACTTTGTTCCTTAGATGGTCCCTATAACATCCCACCCATCCAGGTCCCGCTGCCACGTTACACTAAGGAACAGAGTGTAATTGAAAGTGAAGTGAAATTGAGTTGGGAGAACAACTCTGATCCCAGAGCCATATGGGTTTGAACAAGGTACTTCCCTGAGTCTTGGTTTTGCCACCTGTCACACAAGTGTACTAAAGGAGAGTTCTTGGAGGACTGAAACCCATGCTGCGGTGAAAACTTCCCTTTAGTCCGGAGGTTTGCGGGTGGGGGGAGCGCACCGCCAGAGTCTGAGGCTGTGCCAGCATGGGCAGGTGCGCCCAGGCTCCTTCCGGTGCTGGGGCGGCGGGGGGCACCCGGGGCAGTGCTGGGGGCTCCCCTAGGCCAAGTGGAGCCTAGAGGGAAGGGAGGGCCGAGGCTTCAGGGCTCGGAGCTCACCTCCTCACCTCTCTGCCCTCACGCTGGGCGCCCACCTCAGCTCCAGGGGTCTTGGGCATTGATCTCTCCTGAGGGGGTCTGGGTGGGGTGTGGCGTTTAGCTTGTAAGGAAGGAGCCATTCCCTCCTTACCCCTCATCATTCACTTTTCTCTAATGAGAGCCCATCCCTGGAGCTTGTCAGAGGGTTTCTCCCTAGATTTCCAAGTGAGCATCGGGGAGAAAGAAGGGAGAAGGGAGACTGTTAGCCACTGTGTTCGGGCTCATAGTTCCTGTTACATTTGGAGAAACTTCCACACTCCCAGAACATATACCCTTTGACCCCCAATGCTCCAGTTGGGTGCCTTGGTGGAAAGGCATTAGGTTGGATATTTGACACTCTGGTGGGGGGCGCTCAGAGGTGTTCTTGCTTAGTTCGGTTTTGTTTTTTAAATTAGGTCCAGGCTGCAGAAATTCAATGATTAGAAGCTAGGGATAGGCGGTATCTGCTTTCTTCTGAGAACCAGTGACACTCCTGTCCTGGCAGCTGACACATGCTCAGTCACCATTTGCCCAGATGACTAAAAACCTGACATCCTTGTCCTTTTTTTCTCAGGCACCCCAGCCCTCTTCCAGAACCAGGTGTTCCCCTCTGCCTCAAGGCTCCTTCCAGGGACCTAAGTCTGGGGCCCCTCTGACTTCTGGAATGCCACCATTCTGATTCAACTCTGTAGCAGAGCAGAACTCTGGTGGGAGACTCAGAGGTATCCACCCAGCTTGGAGTGGACCCTGGTAAATAACTCAGTGACAAGGAGTGTCCGTGTTAGGACCACCGTTCATGGTAGACTTCCAGCTTCCTGCAAATGAGAATGCCAAAAGTAGCAAAAAGCACTGCATTTTTTAAAAGTTTTTATTTACTTATGAGAGACACACAGAGAGAGGTAGAGACAGAGGCAGAGGGAGAAGCAGGCTCCATGCAGAGAGCCCAATGTGGGATTCGATCCCCTTCCCGGGATCATGCCCTGAGCCCAAGGCAGATGCTCAAACACTGGGCTACCCAGGCATCCCAACCACTGTTTTGATTCCAAATGAAGTTCAAACTGGAAGGCCTGTGACAAACTGAAATGTCTTTCTGGTCAGGGAGGTTGCTGATCCTCCTTTGGTATAAGTGAGAGCCAAGGCTACGTGGATGATGAGCGATGGTTCTGCTGGGACTGACATTTGGGCATGGAATGGTTTTAGAGCAGGGCTAGTGTCCTAACATGAACTTGGGATATAGTAGTTGCCCATAAATATCGGGTTTAATTCGTTAGAGTGCTGTTTTATTCTGTGTAGTATTGCCTTGTGATATCTCTTATTATGTATTTAATTTTAATTTTCCTATATTAGTATCCTGATTGGCAACCTTGTCTTATACTTCTTTATAATCCTCAACAGAATTTATAATAGGTGCTTAGAAATACTTGCTAATTAATTAACACATTTTCTCCCTGTTTTGTCACCATGCAATTAAGCCCAGCAGGAACTCAGGAGTGACTCCTCTTAGAAGCAATAGAAATTCAGCCTCCTCTTCCATGACCCTCTAAAGAATTCCTGTTCTCTAGCCACTCCTGCTTAAGATCTTCTGTAAGGTCACAGCCAGAGTCAGGAACACCAGTCAGGACTTCTCCCAACTGATAGTCCAGAAATTATGATGTCCTTACTTTACAAATATTTTATACCTTATTATAAAAAGACCAATAGAGAGGAAGCTATCTATTATCTGTCCATTCTTTCCCCCTCTGCCAAACACTAATAGGTAAAAGGGCTTTAATGAGTAGGAGAGAAAATCCAGATGAGATACCTACAAAGAGGAAAATCAGAATCTGGGGTGAATGTGTGAAGAGAGAGAATGGGGGCAATGGAGAAGGTGAAAAGGGAAAGGGAAAAGCCTGGACTGGCTTTTGGTAAAACAGATAGGAAAATAAATGATGAGTGGGGAACACCATCATGGAAGTCCTGATGGGGATAAATGGGTAAGACTGTAGGCCAAACAAAAATCCCTCCCTGCATGCCACCTACAACCCAGCAAGCCAAACAGGCAAGATGCCTACTGTAGACATTTAGAAAAGCAAAAGGATTCAGGGGGATGAAGGAAGAATTATCTAGATGAGAGATATTTATGATATTTTCTGGATTTTTCCTTTCTCCCAGGTATGGAAGATGGTGAAAGAAATAAGTCCACTTAGGCACTTGATGGGATGAGCATTGGGTGTTATAGGTTGGCAAATTGAATTTAAATTTTAAAAATGTAAAAAAAAAAAAAAGATAAAAAAGAAATAAGTCCTCTTTTTTTCTCAGATCTTACTTATTCATTTTAAAAAGGAGGGGGTTAAGTGTCCTGGGAACTGAAAGACAAGCCTGCTTACTACACACACAGTCTGAGTAATAGTAGATGGAAATATAGATTGGTCCTGAAACCCAACTTCCAGTCAGATCTGGGGCATTGCCCCCAAACTTCCCTTAGCTATGCTGCTCTTCCCAAGACTTGGTGTCCTATTTTGGTGCCCATCCCATATGTCCATCAAACAGCTTTTCATTCTGAAACCATCATCTCCTACACATGCTCATATTATTCATTCCTTCTTTTATATCTCCCAGACTCACATCTTCTTGCTTATCATCTCATCCCTAGACCAGTTTCAATAAGAACACAGCAGATGAAGGGTGAATGCCGTTAACTTTCTATACTTTGCCCTTCCCAGAGTCTAGGAAATACAAACTGTGAGTCTAACTCCTCATGGAAGAGCATGGAAGAGCTGGGCACTTTCTGAGGGATCACCGTGGGGAAGTGATCTGGCCCATGCCAAGAGTCTGCTGCTCCATCAGGTGGACTGGGTAGGAGTTAGGGCCTCCATCATCTTCTGGGTCATTGTCCTCCTTGTTCTGGATCAGTGCCTGGCGTGTTTTTGTCATATAGGAGACCTGTGATTAGGAGAAAGGAGAAATGGGCTCCATCTGCTATGTCACTTGCTTCCTACACACCCATAACCCTTTGATTCTATTATTCCTGATCCTCGACCTTTAGCTTCCTCCTTTCCCAAGATTCCATCCAAACCTTGATCCTTATTCCAGCCCCAGATCCCATGCGCTAAGCTCCAGATTTCATCTCCAATTCCCTCTTCTGTCCAATTTTCCTTACCTTTATATCCCCTATTCTCACATCCCAGATTCTATCTCCAATACACAGTTTTTCCCTATTCTACATCCTTTATTCTCATGCCACTATTCATGCTCCATGCATCACTGTCTTTCCCCATCATTTTCGCCACCACTACCCCTATATTACCATCCCCTCAACACCACAATTTCTCTTTTTCTGAGCTTATTACACCCTCTGGTTCAGATCCATAATCTCTCATCAACTTCCTATCTGATGGATTCACTTCCTTGTAGCATCCCTGTCCCTTACCAAGAAGATAAGGCTAAGGAACATCAGGAAGAGAATCACAGCCACCAGGACCACAATAACTATGGCCCAGGCAGGGAATGAATCATTCTCACTCCTTCCTCCAGCGTGAACACCTCTGTGTGAGCCATCTTCATTCTGATATGGATGGCTTTCATTGCCTGGGATCTCTGACATGGTGGAACTCAGCTTCATGTGAGAGGTACTGGTGGTCTTCCTGCTGACGGTGGTGGTCTTCTCCCCAGGATTCTTGAGTCCTCCCAGGGGTCTCGTGGTCTTCCTGCTCGCTGCAGTGGTCTTCCTTCCATGGTCTGGAGACCCTTCTGCGGTACTGGTGGTCTTCCCGCTGACTGTGGTGGTCTTCTCCCCAGGATTCTTGAGTCCTCCCAGGGGTCTCGTGGTCTTCCCACTCGCTGCAGTGGTCTTCCTTCCATGGTCTGGAGACCCTTCTGCGGTACTGGTGGTCTTCCCACTGACTGTGGTGGTCTTCTCCCCAGGATTCTTGAGTCCTCCCAGGGCTCTTGTGGTCTTCCCGCTCGCTGCAGTGGTCTTCCTCCCATGGTCTGGGGGCCCTTCTGCGGTACTGGTGGTCTTCATGCTGACGGTGGTGGTCTTCTCTCCAGGATTCTTGAGTCCTCCCAAGGGTCTCGTGGTCTTCCCGCTCGCTGCAGTGGTCTTCCTCCCATGGTCTGGGGGCCCTTCTGCGGTACTGGTGGTCTTCCCACTGACTGTGGTGGTCTTCTCTCCAGGATTCTTGAGTCCTCCCAGGGCTCTCGTGGTCTTCCCACTCACTGCAGTGGTCTTCCTTCCATGGTCTGGGGACCCTTCTGCGGTACTGGTGGTCTTCCCGCTGACGGTGGTGGTCTTCTCCCCAGGATTCTTGAGTCCTCCCAGGGCTCTCGTGGTCTTCCCGCTCGCTGCAGTGGTCTTCCTTCCATGGTCTGGGGGCCCTTCTGTGGTACTGGTGGTCTTCCCGCTGACGGTGGTGGTCTTCTCCCCAGAATTCTTTAGTCCTCCAAGGGCTCTCGTGGTGTTGGCTGGAGTGGTCTTCTTTCCATCATCCTTGGGCCCTTCTAGGGCTCTTGTGGTCTTCTTTACATGGTCTTTGGGATCTTCTGGGGCTTTCATTGTCTTACTGCTGGCTGGAGTGGTGTTCTGTCCATGTTTCTTGGACTTTTCTTGGGTTGTTGTGGTCTTCCCATCGGCTGATTTAGTCTCTTCTCCATGTTTTGTAGACTCTGCTTGGATTCTTGGGGTTGTCTTATTAGCCAATGTGGCCTCTTTCCCATGTCCCAGTAGGCTTTCTAGTGATCTTGTGGTATTTATATGAGCTGACGCAGTCCTTTGTTTGTGTTCTGTAAGTGTTGTTAGTATTTGTGCAGTCCTTTCAATGGGTGATGTGACCCTGTTTATGTGTTCTGTAGGCTTCCTCACAGTCTTGCCTGAGGCAACCGTAGTTCCGGAACTAGCAACTATTTTATGATCTTCAGCTCCTTCTGACCTTTCTGGGATTCTTGTAGACTTTGTGACTGCTGTGCTTTTGCCTGAGGAAGATGTAGGTATTTTGTTGATCTCTGTATTGACTGAGGTGTGGACAGGAATTATGGTCTTGGGTGAAGTAGTGCTTTTACTGTCTAAAGTAGTGATGGTGTTTCCAAACGATGTTGCAGTTTTATGTATGTTTCCTGTACCTGTTTTGCTTACATTGGGCTTATTGCAAAATGGTTTTCTCTTGGGTGCTAGGGTTGAATATTTTGCACCAGACAGTCCTTTATGTGTGTTAGTAGAGTCATTAGGATCAATAGAGCGTCTATTCTGGATATTTGGTTTTTTTCCTTGATTGCTGGGTTTTTTTTCAGAAGTAGGAGAAACTTCATAATCACTTGTAGAATTTTGAGGGTTATCTATTGGTTTGTAAGTTGGCTTGATATGGTGTGTAGTATTGCAATGACTTTTTCGCTTATGGATTTCTGTAGATTTAGTGAGGTCTAGAGGGTTGTGGCCTAAATGAAGAGCAGTATAATCAGAGAGTGTACTATAAACAAGGCCTGAAGTAGGAGGCAACAAATGATCAGATGCTGGGGAAACACCAGTTTTCTGAAGTTCTTGAAATGCGGTAGCACCTGTGAAGCAAGAAAAGCAAATAAGAAACTTCCGTTATGTTCTTTCTTGCTTCTCTGCCCACCTCTATCTCTAGGGATCCCTTTATTACCTTAGGTATATCTCCCAGCAAGGATCCTCATAATACTATGATATATAATCCCCACTGTCTCCTCTAGTCTCTGGACCTTTGTTCAGGTGGTGCCTTCAGCAAAAATGCCACCTCTACTCTTCAGTTCTCAATTTCAGACTTTTCTGGTTTTCTGGCATCTTTCCAGATCCTTCCAAGCACATATGATCTAGCTTCATCTGAGTGCTCAAAAAATTCTTTGTTAATACCCTTTCCTGCTACTTTCAACTTCACATTACAGTTATTTGTGTGCCTATCAACCTCTACCTCCTGCCCTGCCTATCAAATCATAAGATTTTGAGATCAGGTATTAACTGTCATTTTGCTCCACAAATGCTCCTTTAGAATTTATATACTTATGGAATGGAGTTCCCTTTACATTACAGAGCTGAGAGGAAAGAGCAAATATCAGAATCTCCATCTTTCCTTAACATTCCAGCTCCATCCCAAATATAACTGTGAGAGACTGAGTAAGATTTCTGGCAGAGCTTCCCATGGGTATTAATAAGTAGATACAGATGATGAATGAGAGAAAGATAAGAAGTGAGATGGAGGGTGGGTATAGGAGGGAGATGGGAAATTTTCATTTTGGTGTTAAAGTTTGGTCTGAATGCAGAGAAGTAAATGAGATGACTCAATCCCTATGGTTCCCCCCACCCCTTCACACACCTAATGCCATCTGGAATAAAGATCACCCTCCTAAGAGAAAAAGATATCTGCTTGGGGGTCTTGAGAGGAGTGAATGAGGCAGCTGAATTCTGGAAGGGACTGACCATATTTAAGGACAGGGTGTGAGAGAAAACACTTCTATCAGTGAACAGATATGGGCCTTAATTATGTGGGAAAACAACCAATGGGGACAGAGGAGATGTCTCTGATACCTAGCCAGGAGATCGCCAAAGAGTGAGAGACTGTTGTTACATAACTGAGATTTCCAGTCTCTGTTAGCTCAAGGTGGAAACCAGAACCTGGACCCATTCCCAATCACAGAAAACCATGATCCACCTACCTCCCTGCTGCCAAAGAGAGTAGGAGGCTGGGGAACCCCTTGAAAGAAATATAGGAGGGAAAAGAAGAGGGTGAGGGTACTACAGAAGCCCAAGTCTCTGAAGGGATTCAAGGTTAGGGAGATAAAGGAGGACTGAATTATCAGGCTCTTACTCTACTGTGTTAGTTCTATTCTTTGATTCCCTCAGCAACAATCCTAGTTATAGCTGTTGTTCATTGGCCACATTCTCTGGGCCAAGATCTCAGGTGGTTGCCTCATAGACATTCTGATTTGCCTCATAGACATTTCTGGATTTTCTTCTAGAGTGACTGATCTCACAACCTCCCAAAAGGTGCCTTTGAAGCTATCAGTCTCCCTATTTTACAGCCAAGAAAATTGAGTTTCAAGTTTTACACTGGAAGAATGGTGCCTTGCACACAACTCCATAGCTATAGCCATGGCCAACCTCTCTTGCATACTTACTGTGAGACAGGCAGGTCCTATGAATGAGGACATGTATTAACTCATTTGCTTCTCACAACAGCCCTTTGAAGTTGAGAACTATTCACTATTCTTCCCTTATTATAGATGAGTATACAAGATTCAGAGAGGTTGAGTAATCTCCCCAAGGACATCCCCCAAGCAAGAAGTTGAGCCAAAGTCCTGGGTCCCCAGGCCCAGACTGGTTAAGACTACTGGTTAAGACCAACTGTTGGGAAAGGAAGAACACTGGCATCTGTGGAACCCCTAAAGAATGCTGTTTCTATATTTGTTTAATCTTCACCACAAACCTACAAGGACAAGTATATGACCTTATAGTTTTATAGATAAGGAAAGGAAGTTCAAAGAGATTAAATAGTTGGCAAAGTCAGTCTTCTCACTAAACCTCAGATGCTTTTATTTTTTATTTATTTATGTTAGAGAGAGTTGGGTGAGGAGAGAGGGAGAGAGAGAATCTGAAGCAGGCTCCACAGTCAGCATGAAGCTCTACACTCAGCACACACAGGGCTCAGTCTCATGACCCTCTGATCATGCACTGAGCTGAAATCAAGAGTTGGTTGTTTAACTGACTGAGCCACCCATGCATCCCCACCCCAGATGCTTTTAAATGTGATAAGGGATGAATAAATATCCATAGAGTGAATAAATGAGCAGTAGCAGCACAGTGGCAAATTCCACTGTTCTTAAAGAATCAGAGGACGGGATTAGAGTTTAGGCTTTGTCCCTCACCAGATTTGCATCCTTGCTTAGGTCACTTAAATATTCATGAACTCCACGTCCTTAACTGTAAATGACGATGATGTCGACTACATCAGCTTGAGCATAGACGATTCTTTAAAGTGTTTCTTGAATCCAAATTGTAGTCTTTGAAACAGTCTCATACTTTGCCCTTTTCTCCTGGTAAGGGGAGCCTGATCCCGTGACCTTCTGCAGCCCCTGCTATCTCTCCTGACCATATGCCCCTGAGGCCTGCCTTGACCACCTCTTCCAAAAGGCAGCCCACATTCCTGGGCCACTTCTCCTTGCTGTGTTTTATCAGTGTGACACTCATTATTCTCTAGTACATAATGAATACTTCCTACAATGGCAGGGATTTATATTTGTTTTATTCATTGCTAGGTCCCCAGTCTAAAGGAAGAACTTTATACATATTTGTTGAATAGGTGATTGACAGAATATTTTAAGACTGATGAAAACTCTTCAGAAACAACTTTTCCTTATGCACATTTAAGTTAAAAAAAAAAAAAAGCAAACATAACTGTGACCTCCAAAGTTTGGAAAACCAAAGGGTAATTTTTGTCATGTGAAATAATTGAGCCCCTTGAGATATTAAAAGAAGTCCTGAAGCATACCAGTTCTGGGATATTGGTTGTCATATAACCCCAGGTGCCACATAGTCAATAACTAGACTCAGATAACTAGATCTTAAAATTCCAGACCTACATCACACAATTGTTGAACCATCGATTATAAAATCTGGAATCAAAGCTCAAACAATTCCTTGGTTCTGAGCTTAACCATAAGGCAAATCAGTGACTAATACTCCCCGCCCCCAACCATGAGGTGACTATCTCTTCTCCCCAGTAGATCTATCTAGTAGCAGTTTTAGTTCCCTAGGAAGTTTTCACCATGAGATATTCATTTCACTGACCACAATAAGGGTCTGAAAATAACTTTTTTTGGTCACTGATAGGCACAGGAAAATCTGGCTTTAGCACAAGATACTGGAGGTGGATGCTCAGCCTGGATTAAAGAATGAACTGTGGAAGGAGCCTCGGTGTCCATCGAAAGATGAATGGATAAAGAAGCTGCGGTCTATGTATACAATGGAATATTCCTCAGCCATTAGAAACGACAAATACCCACCATGTGCTTCGACGTGGATGAAACTGGAGGGTATGATGCTGAGTGAAATAAGTCAATCAGAGAAAGACAAACATTATATGGTCTCACTCATTTGGGGAATATAAAAAATGGTGAAAGGGAATAAAGGGGAAAGGAGGGAAAATGAGTGGGAAATATCAGTGAGGGTGACAGAACATGAGCGACTCCTAACTCTGGGAAATGAACAAGGGGTAGTAGAAAGGGAGATGGGTGGGGGGATTGGGTGACTGGGGGACGGGCACTGAGGGGGGCACTTGATGGGATAAGCACTGGATGTTATGCTATATGTTGGTAAATCAAACTCCAATAAAAAAACACACAAAAAAAGAGAGAGAGAGAGAATGAAAACAAATCCCACAGCATCAAAACTATGTGCAATTCCAAAGGTCTGTTCAATCTGTTTCATTCTATTATTTGAAAAGATGGTGGATATCCAGGTAGGTGACTCACGATACAGGGTCTCTATCAGAGCAGCCTTGCCCAAAAGAGCATATCTAATGTTTCTTGGTGTCCTCTCCCTAGAAAATGGCTTACTTCATTTGTAATAATATGGATAAATGCTTGAAATGTCTATAAAGCATAAGCTCAATATGTGACCTAAAACTCAGAGCAAAAATAGTAAAGAGAAATATACTCAAATGGTTGCATGAGTGGGGAACTGGAGGGTATTAGGAGAGATTTTATTTTTCTTTCTCATTTTTTCAATTTTCCAGTTTCTATAGTGAGCACATATTATTTCTGTCATATAAATTAAACCAAATAACATTTATTTATTTATTTTTAAAGATCTCATTTATCTATTCATGAGAGACACACAGACATACACAAAGGCAGAGACACAGGCAGAGGGAGAAGTAGGCTCCCCACTAAGAGCCTGTTGTGGGACCCCAGGATCACGACCTGAGCTAAAGGCTGACGCTCAACCACGGAGCCACCCAGGCGTCCTAAACTAAATAACATTTAGTGTAGGAAAACAACCTTTTTAGATTCTCTCCAAGACCTCAGCCCCATTTGTGCTCCCCTCAGAGATGATTTAATCTAGTTTCTGCACCTCTGGTTCTATGACTGCAGACCCTGGGGTTCTAAGATTCAGTTATCTGAGTCTGGGTATTGACTAGTCCTGTGGATAAATGGGAGAGAAGGTCCAGAACTGTGGGCTAATGGTCTATATCCAACCCAGTCATCCCTCCTCTCTCTACCCTAGTCTTACTCCCTGCTGGACATAGTCATGTGCCCAGTGGGACCCACATTCCAGCTCCAACTTGACCCCATCCCAGCCTTATCCCAGTCTCAAGTCCTCCTGACCTATCATCCACTTGCTCTTCTCTACAGGATTTGAGCGTCCACTGCCATGGCCCTTCCCTCAGCCCTCCCCTCCCTCCCACCCAGGCAACATGCAGAGAATCCAGAATCTCCTGGACTGGAATTTGGATCTCAAGTCTTCCCTGTACCTGTCTGTGCCCTAGAGCAAATCTCCCTCAAAAGTGAATGTGTATGGAGTTGATTCATGACTCATGCCCTTCTACTCTGGGCATGAGTACATTCCTCTTCCTGTGCAGCAGCACAAAGGAAGGTGTTGGAGAGCAGCAGGTGGGATAGCAGCCTGACAGGAAGCCTGAAGATTGGGAGGCTGAGGATGGCTCTGGTGCTCTGTCCCCAGACCCTTGGGGGAAGGACATCAAGTCAGGGCACAAATAGAAGGGACCACTAAGACCTAGCAGAGGCAGCTTGAAGATTTCTCAGCCCTACCATCCACCATATGTTTGGTCCCCACACCCCTATCTGAGCTGAGCCCCAACGTGACCTGAGCTCAGGGAAGGAGAAACTTCCTCCAATATCACCCTCAGTCAAACACTATTAGAAGAAGCACCTTCTACCTGCCCTGCCCCAAATATTATCTGGAGCATCCAGACTCACAACTTTCTGGGCCCTGGCTTGCAATCATCAACATCATTGCCATGGATAACCGTATCCAGTACTTAGTTTTTCTGAATCTATTTGTGTGTGTCTGCCTTATGAAGACCCTTCTTTGAATCATCCAGGTCCCCTCCAAGCTGCCCCTGTGTTGGCCTCTCCACTCCCTGGGGTCAGTCACAGAACTCTTTCTTAACTAAGTGAACTAATTCGATGATTTAACTTGTAGGCCCTGTTTTGCTCATTACATTTTTCTTTCTTTTTTTAAAAATTGTATTTATTTATTCATGAGAGAAAAAGAGAGATAGAGAGGCAGAGACACAGGCAGAGGGAGAAGCAGGCTCCATGCAGGGAGCCCAACGTGGGACTCGATCCCAGGTCTCCAGGATCACGCCCTGGGCCAAAGGTAGACGCTCAACTGCTGAGCCACCCAGGGATCCTCTAAACTTCTCCATATACATTTTCTCACCAAAGCCCTGGGTTGTTTCTCAACTATTTGTAGGGGGACAAAACCATACATGCCTTATGGAGCTGCTATTGGATTAAATAAATGAATGTGGATGAAGTGCCTAGAATAATGCCTACCACACAGTAAGTGCTCAGTAAGCATCATCTATTGGTATTAGCCAGGCGTGAGGAAGTACAGAATAGTTAAATGGGCCAGACTTCAGAGTAGAACCAAGGTCAGCATAGAGCAAGGCTTCTGGAAAGAAATGCACCCTATGTCTCTTGAGGGCAGCAGGCAGTGTGGAGTGTCAGACTCCTTGTTCACTACCCTCTAGCTGCACGACTTTGGACAAGTCCCTTTATCTCTCTAGGTCACACTCTCCTCACTATCAAGTGGGATATTATTAATCATTTCAGGGGATTTGAGGAGATTAAATGAGATGAAGTATTGTGAGCACCTGTGAGTTTCTTGCACATAGCAGATGCTCAGCGAATGTCAGGTCCCCACTGCTATCTACCCAGGACTGCCAGCCTGTACAGTGTCTTTATGTAAACTGGAAGAAGCCCCTTTCTGGGTGGAGGCAGGCTTTCAGGCCATGTCTTGAGAAGCAGAGCACAGGCTGGGTTTCATCTTCTACCTGCCCGTTAGCCAGCAAATTTGAGCAGTGAACACCCTAGGCAATTTTTGAGCAGTGAACACCCTAGGCAATTTTTGCAACAACCCATACCCCTTCTCATCACACATTCACCTGTTGTTCATTTCTATGATTGTTCATTCAACCCTATTTCTGCTAAGAAATAATCCCTCTCTGTCTTCTGTCTCCCTGTATTATGGTGACCCCTTTGCCTCTAAAGGCAACTTACCTGACTCCCAAGAACCTAGAAGGAAGAGGAGGTAGCACTGGAGGCCAAAGGTGGAGTGGATGCAGTGGGCTGCCTGGGCCATGTTGGAGTTGGGCAGCTGCTTGGGACCATGGGCTGGGGTCCCCTCAGCTTATATGGGTCTGTATTTGACGTCATGGGGGCTGGGGCTCCTCAGGCCTAAACCTTAAACAAATGGAACCACCCCACCCCACAGGGGTGCCCTGATAACGGGAGACCGCAGCTGCTGCGTCATGGAGCCAAGCATCTGGGTGCCTGCTGAATGGGTGGGATCTGGGAAAAGGGACACAGAGGGGGCAGACTCTTGACCCAGCCCCATGAAGGGAGAGGGGACTGGGTAGGGGCAGCCTCCAGGGCTCTGGGGAGGTAGAAAGCAAATGGCTTGGCTCTAGAGGGACTGAGCTTTGATGAGTGGGACAGAGGGGATCACTGGGTGCTCAGGTTCTGGGAGGAGATCCAAATCCTGCTTCTTCTCCAGCTTCACATTTGCCCTTCCACCTCTCTCACGTCAGCCTGGCTCTCCACACCCCTTACTCATACACGGTCACTCTTTTTTCCCTGGGTGGAGCTGTCCATGAGTATCAGGTGAAAGAGCAAAGAGGAAAGCCCTCACGTGACCCACTACTGCAGAGACAGGTGCTTCTAGATGTTCAGAGATGACACAATAAGATGTGGAAGCAGTGGAGACAGTGAGAGACAAGTAACAAGACAGATAAAGAAGCCCAGGATATGACATCACACACTTCACCAGGGATGCAGACAGGACACAGAGGCTGAGATTTATCTTTGGTGGAGATGCTTGGTGAGCAGGGGCTCTGACTTCAGCCTACCTCTCCCTTCCCTCTCCCACATCAGCCCAGCAGCCATCTCTTTGCCTCCAAGCCACCATCTACCCCTATATAGAAATGCAGACATCTCATTTCTAGGATCTCCTGGAGTCTCCCTCTTTCCTTTCTCTTGATTTCTTGCCTAAAGCAAGCATTAGTTCAGAAGACTGTCAAAATTCATTCACTGGAGTCCCAAATGACAGTCTCTGAGGCTGGAGTTGCAGTGGTGGACAAACTACCAAGATCAAGGAGAGGGAAAGTCATAGGTCCAGGTGTCCAAGTCATCACCCCTCTATGACTTGCTTCATTTGTTCGCAGTGGGTCTCCTGTCATGTAAAGTAAGCACCCTGTAGGCAAGGTCTTTGCCTTGATCACTGCTGCTTCCCTATCACCTGAAACAGTGCTTGGTACACAGTAGACAATCAGTAAGTAGTCAACTATTGCGCTGTATGCAGTGGGTGCCTGGATGGCCTAACGCCTTTCTGGAGGAAGTACAGCAGGCAGCGGGAGGGAAGAGGGTCAAGATCTACTGGGCCTCAGGGCAGTGAGGCTCATGGCAGATCTGAGGACTAGACATCTGAATTTCTCTCATCATTTGGTATGATTTGTCCCTAAGCCCTAAGCAGAATGGAATGAGTGAGAACAGGCCACCTGCTCATTAATGCAATTAATGGGAAATTGATGAGGCTCCATGGCATCAGGCCAAAGACTGACTCCTCAGAACTGGGCAGCCTGCCTCCCAGGCAATGCACCCTGCAAGATGGCACAAGGTCACAGCTATATTGGTAGAGCTAGGATTCAACACCCAGGTTAATGTGATCCAGAGAGCAGACAGATCTGCACTACCTAGAGTTGAATTTAGTGTCTCTGTGGTCAGCCTCCAGCCCTTCCCAGCCTCTCTTTTGGTGGCCCCAAGTCCTCATCCCTGCCTGGTCAGTGTTTTAGCCACCCAGACAAGGTTCCCTTATCCCCCCTCACCTCTCCTAAAGTGTGACAAGCTGTCATCCTCCTCCCTTGAAGCTCTTGTTCTTCTCAAAGTCCTGGAATGCCAGGTCCCAGCCCCACTGGCCTTTGGGACCCACACATTTGGGCCACAGCTTCACTCACCTTCTTGACACCATGCGGTAGGCTGACCATTGCTGTCATCACAGTGAGAGCGATCAATAGGATGGCCCAGTCTGGGATGGAACTCTTCTCCTGAGGAAGAGAGAGGAATAGCGACCAAGGCTGCTGAGACCTCACCCCCCAGCTTCCCATTGCCCTCCTTCTCTTTTCCTCTGGGACTCTGATGTCTATACAACTCAGAGACCACAACTCTCTGTGGAGTTCTCTCCTAAAATCTTGAAAAGAGAATCTCAATGGAGGGTTTTTTTTAAGGGCTTCCATCCAAGTTGCAGCCACCTCTTCCCCAGCAGCTGTGGATGCATTCTGCTGGTCTCTAAACTCCTTGCTGACATCCACATCTTTCCATCTTTTTGAACTTTCCTCCAATACCTCTGGCTTTGTTGTCTATGTCTCTCTCAATCAGCAATGTGTCTGCTATGAGGATATCCAGGTAAGCCTCTCTCCTTCTGAACCCTGGTCCTTCCCACCACCCTGGCCTGATGCTAGCTATCAAGGGGAGCCAGAGCCTGTTGTTCTGTGTGCTCTCCCCTCATTTCCTGCTCTCAGCTACCTGGGGGGAGCCTGGCCATATCTCCTCTGATAGGAACATAGGAGAGAAGAAGATGCAACGGAGGGAGGAGGGGGAACAGGATCCTTGGAGGGGATGTTTCTTGCACCAGAAAGACAGAGCAGGCCATGAGGAAGGAAGTTGGAAACTTTTTAAGGAAGTAGTCAGGTAACAAATATCTGGCTGTTGGTGTGACCAGAAGCTCGAGGGAATACCAAAACTCCTTTAAGAATTGTGGACATCCTCAGATATGCTCAAAACACAGTTGAAAGCAAGCACTCGTGCCTGTCCCTGAATTCCTGTCCCAGAGCCAGGACTGGCTGCAGAAGAATAAGAGAGAATGGGCCCAACCAACATCTTTGCTGGTAAATGATCCAATGCAAATAAGGGCACTTACTGGGTTGGAGGCTGAGCTCAGAGCACGTGGTGGCCACTCCAGCTATTACGGAAGTAGAACCTCTGGAGATAGCCAGGCTGGGTGTAGAAGGCCAGGCACAGTGGGAGCAGTTCCAGGGGCTGCTGTGAGGGAGACAGGTTCTCGAAGGCCAGAAGAAATCAAAGTAAGAGCTATGTCCAGCGCCCCCTCAGTCAAAATCCTAGCAAGTTGTTGGTACAAGTTGATGAACTGATTCTATGAAAATGAAGACTGAGAATGGCCAAGAAATCCTAAAGCAAAAGAGAAGTAGAAGTCTTATCCTGGGATCCCTGGGTGGCGCAGCGGTTTGGCGCCTGCCTTTGGCCCAGGGTGCGATCCTGGAGACCCGGGATCGAGTCCCACGTCGGGCTCCCGGTGCATGGAGCCTGCTTCTCCCTCTGCCTGTGTCTCTGCCTCTCTCTCTCTCTCTCTCTCTCTCTCTCTCTCTGTGACTATCATAAATAAATAAAAATTAAAAAAAAGAAGTATTATCCTACCAGATCTTGAAACTTGCTACAGAATTGCTGTCATGTAGTACTGTGGCACAGACATAATAACAGACAGGATGGAATAGAATCCGGAAATAGATCCACACATGCATGCTCACTGGACTTTTGATAAAGGCACTCACATAATTCGATGGCGGGCAGAGAGGGAGGGTCTTTGAAATAAATGGTTCTGGGGCAACCAATTATCCATAAGGGAATAGATGAACCAACCTCTACTGCAGTCCATACACAGAAATTAATTGAAGATAGATCATAGGCTTAATTTAACTCAATAATGTAATTTAATTTAATAGGCTTTGATTTAATTTAATAGGTTTAAATTTCAGAGCCTAAATAATAAAGCTTCCAGAGAATACATAGGAGAATATTTTTATGATCTGGATGTAGGCAAAAAAAAGTCTTAGGTAGGATACAAAAGACACTAACTGTAAGAGAAAAAATTTGTAAACTAAAATGCAGAATGGGGGGGCCTTTGTATAGCCACCAAGGCCATGACACTGCTTCAGTGAGGTTCTGGGGAACTGTCAACTTACACATGGCCAAGCACAACACCGCCCCGCCCCCCGCCCCCACCGCCGCCCCGAGCCACAGAGCCCTTCAGAGCTGGATTGAGCAACAGAAATATCACCTGGTGGTGCCGAGACTGTTACCGCAGTGCTCTCAGAAATGGTTGTATCAGAAGTCTGAGGACTAATGAGAAAACGCCCAGAAGTTGAAGAACCTGGTGAGAAACACAAAGATGGTGCAGAGACCATCAGAGATCTCCCTAGAGACAGTAGGGAGACTGGCAGAGACAGTAGGGAGAGCAACAGAGATGGTAGGGAGACTTGTGAACACAGTGGGGAGACTGGCAGAGATCTTCCCAGAGATGGTGGAGAGACTGGCAGAGACAATGGGGAGACCAGCAGAGATATCCCCCAAAATAGTTAGGAGACTGGCAAAGAAACTTGTGTCTCCACCTGAGTATACGGGATGTTTTAGAACAACTAAAACAAAACATTCAAGAGCCTGAGGGACTCTCAGAGGTAGTCAAGATGCCTGCAGGTACTGTGTTTCCCCATGAGCAGCTGAACTGTTGGAAGAAAAAGAAAAATGAAATAATGGGCTTAGAAGAGTTGACCATCTCCCTGGGTCCAGAGCCCACATCTTCATGCCAACACCCCTTTCCAGAGGTTGGTGTTCCTGCAGGCAGAGGAACAGCACGAGCGCAGCATCCACTGTGTCTGTTGGTGTGTGCCTTTCCAGGTCCATCTCCCTGGCTCTTTAAAGAGTCTGAGTCTGATTTCAAGTCTCAAGTGAGCCAGGTATATCGGGGCCTCCATCAGGCCCATGATCTCTGTCCCCAAGAAGAGGTCACCAAGCTGTCCCGGGGGATTAACCTACCCCAGCCCGATCCCAGGAAACACTGAGCAACAGGGAGAGTGAGTGAGAGAGGCTGAAGACTCCCCTACCTGGCCCTCAGGCTCTCTCCAGACTTAGGACCAGTCTTCTGTGCCCAAGTCAATCTCCAGCCCAGAACTTCCTCAAAGGGAGGAGTCCTCTTGCTCCTAGAAGTACAACCATTGGGGTTGAGGATATGCGGGTCCCTTAGGGAAGCAGAATTTGAGAGCTAGATGGAGGCAGAGAATGTCAAGGCCTGGAGCCTGCATCTGACCTTTGGGAGACCTCAGGCAGGGTAAACACCTGAGCCATCTCTGATCCAGTTGGCAGAGCAGGGGCAAGGGGAGAAGAGCAGCACCAGAGAAGACCCGAATTGTGTTCAGAAACCACGTAATGCAGAAGTTCAGAACCTAGCTCTGAAGCCAGACTGCTCTAAATCCACTGCACTGAAATCCACTCCTCCCAACCTGTGCAACCTCCAGCAAGTCATGTGACCTAAATCTTTGCTTCTTCATCCTTAAAATGGGGTGATCTACTACTGACTTCAAAGGGTCATTACAAAGGAACATTAAAGGAAATCATGGTTCTAATGTTCCTAACAAACAGCAGTGCCATCCATGACTATATAGAAAGAGTTGGAGCACCAGCTGGGAAAGTCATAACGGTGCCCCCAACTGTCCTCTTAAGAAGACTCAGATGTGGGGCAGCCTGGGTGGCTCAGTGGTTTAGTGCCGCCTTCAACCCAGGGCCTGATCCTGGAGACCGGGGATTGAGTCCCGCATCAGGCTCCCTGCATGGAGGCTGCTTCTCCCTTTGCCTGTGTCTCTGCCTCTCTTTCTCTCTCTCTGTGTCTCTCATGAATAAATAAATAAAATCTTAAAAAAAAAAAAAGAAGAAGAAGACCCAGATGTCCCAAAGCATCTCTCTGTGCTCCTTCTTTCTATCCTCTGCTTATACCTCCAGTGTCTGCTCATGTTTCAGTCCATTTATTCTTTTCATTCTTGTCTACCTGCTGTCCTGTGCAAGTCTGGGTGTCCTTGAATGCCTCACTTAATATGTATGGTGTAGACAATGTCTCCTTCCGTCCCTCCATTTCCTTGCTTTTGCTTTTGGCTTCTTTCCCTGACTTTGCCCAGTGGTCTCACTGCTTCTGTCCCTTTGTGCTTGGGCCCACTGGTTTTCGAGGGAGGAGGGCGATAATACATCAGCATGCAAATAGGAAGACAAAGGACATGTGCTTTTGTGTGTTCCGGGGGATTATGTGACTCGTGTCAATCTGTTGAGCTTGTCCCTGTGTCTGGCATGAGGGATGGGTTCTAATCTCTCTGCTACTGACTTACTATGTGACCTTCGTGAGTCATATGCCCTCTCCGGGCCCTGGTTTCATAATTTGTAATGAAAGATGGTAAAGCGAGTGGGCTCCAAACTCTCCACATCCGTGCTTACAATGCCTGCATCTACAACCGTTGACTGGGAGGACAACTGTGTATAAGGCAGGGGGCAGAAGGATATTTGATGAAACTTGTGTCTCCACCTGAGTATACGGGATGTTTTAGAAAAACTAAAACAAAACATTCAAATACGAAAGTTCCCCCTTCTGCAGATTTCTCACCTAGAAAGCCACTGTGCCTGGGTGAGCAGGATACCTAGGTTTGGGGAAAAACTTGGTGTAATCTACCCCTACCCCTCCCTTTGGGCCTACATTCCTGAGGCCTTTGGTGGCATGAAAGATGATATTAATTGCAGTTAATAATTAATCCCTAAAGAGCAAGGAGAGGCCCAGGCCTGGGTGGGGCCCAGAGGCCTCCAGGAAGGACACCTCCTTAACTTCCCTCTCTGTAGGACTGGGCACCCTCCCCCTCAAATCTCCAGGCATAGGGGAGGCACAGGACTGAGGAAAGGGCATCGAATTCCATTTTCCCCAACAGCCCAGTGAATGGCCCTCTCCTGGGTCCTCAAAGCCTTATTGGGAGAACTGGAAGATCCAGTTACCCAGCTTCCCTCTCCCATTTCCCCCCAAACACCTGGGCTAAGAATTCAGTAGAGTGTAGAAGGCAAGCCTGGTAAGGAGAGGCCAGCCAGAGATTCGGACGTCTCTTCTGTCCATCAGGGAAGCAAGAATCGAGGTGGCCACAATGGGGGCCGGGATGCCCTTCTTCCTCTTCCTGACTTTCCTGGGCACCTCACAGGCAACAGGTGAGGGCCAGAGGGCTTGATGCTGGGTGCTCATCTCAGGAAAAGGCCAAAGAGGGGGAGTGAGAGGGTCAGAGCTCTTGGTCCCGAGCTCTTGGTCTGGGGCTACACTCCGACAGGGATAAGGTCTGGAAGGGCAATGTCAGGGAAGAGGAACTGGGGGAGGGGGAAACAGGGAAGGAGGGGGTGCCCATGTCTCTGAGGGAATTTGGCCCTAATTACTGGGCCCTAAGCTCTATTTTTGGATCCCTAGGGCCAGGAATGACTTTGCAGCTGAAACTAAAGGACTCCTTTCTAGCAAATTTCTCCTACAATTCCAGCTTCCTGGAATTGCTTGAGAAGGTAATTCTTTGGGAGGGGAAAGACAGGGCTGTGTGAACTCGAAGTGTGTTTCTGACTCAGTGTGGGCCTCTTTTCTGGGTCTGGCCAACTCCAGCGGATGAGTGAGAGCCATCTGACACTTTCCCCCTAACCCTTTCTCTCCCCCAGCTCTGCCTCCTCCTCCACCTCTCGTCAGGGACCAACATCACCCTACATCATGCAGGATCCCCACACCATGTCACCTGCAGTGTCTGAGAACCATCGAAAACTGTGTCCCCCTCTTGGCCCAGGCATTTGGCCACCGAAGTACAAGAGGGCTGCCCTAACCCTGCTGAGTGGTAGTAAATATGCTGAATTCAATGACTTGCCTTTGTGGGTTAATGAGCAGAGGGGTGGCAGGAAAATGGAATTGGACACCAAAATCTCTGACTCTCTCCCTTATTAAGCAGAGGGCTTCTGGGATGGACACTCTCCCTCAACACCAGTGTAAAAGGTCTAGAAAGAATATGGGGAACTTTTCTGAACTGTTTGGGGACACACACACCACATTTCACATCCGCATGTGCATGAACACACACTTCAAGCTGAGATCTTCAGAACACCTAGGAATAAAGGAAAGAAACCTGTGCTGAATCCCTACATTGTTCCAGGCTTGATGCTTTCCCATTTCGATGCTTGCAGCAATCTTGAACGTAGCATAATAGGTGTCACTATCCATTACAGATGAAGTCTGAGGCTAACAGGGGGAAAGTTATTAGCAGCAGACAGGTCGGACATGAGACAAATGCCTAGGCTTAAGCAAGGTTTTCATTTCACCTCTCTTTGCTTAAGCTTTAGGGCTGGGAGCTCAGGAGCCCAGAGACAAATGTGGACAGAACAGTCCCCCGACATGGGCCCCCCTGACCCAGGGCCCCACAAGGTCAGTTAGGGTAGAAGGTGGGGGTGGGAGGCAGCTCCAGTAGGAAATGAGAAGTTCCACCTGTGAAGGGATGGCCAGCCTGGCATAAGAGGTAGGGAGGAGGGCAGGTGGGGAGGAAAAGGGGGGAGCAGAGCTTGTACTGGCTGACTATGAGGACATTCAGTCCTACAGGCCCACACTTGAGCCCCAGGTGAATTTCTTCTTGGAGCCTCCATCTTTTCACCTGCAAAATGGGGATAATTGATAGTACCTGCTGCTTGGACTCTTGTGAGGATTACATGGATAAGCTACCAAGGGCACATGCCAGACAAGTGGGCAGTGGCAGTAGGGATTGTTAAGGTAGAACCCTGGGCCCAACGTATAAGTCCTAGTCCCCTCACAAATCCAGGGTCCTCCCTCTCCTGATTTTCTTGAGGCAGGCACTCATCTGACTCTTCACCTAAGATTACCTTGACTCCTTACCACCTTTCTCAAAATGCAAGCATGCAGCCCAAACTTGACCATTTGGGGGTATTAACATGATCATTTCCTATTCTCCACAGTCCTCATCCCTGCCTAATATTTCCCACCTACATACCATCACCATCATGCGAAATTAGAGGCTGACTCCATCTGAGGCAGGTGAAGGCAATAGCTCCATATAGAGCATCCCTGAAGATGAGGGGAGGATAAGAAATGGGGGAGTGAAAAGAAACACTTGCAAAACAAAATTCCTCTGGTTTCCTTTACAATTGTTCTGGGACCAGCGGCCCAGAAGGGAAGTAACTGGGAGTTGCAAAGGGCCCCAGTGTTTCATGGCTTGCTCCTAGCTCGCACCAGTGGGCAGGTGGCAGCTGTGGGCCAGGTGTGTATGCCCTAACCAAGTTGAGAGACTGGATGTCTGGATTTCCAGAAGACTGGAAACAGCTAACTGCTGCTCAATCTGATTTCTAGGTCTCAGGGCCTGGGATCACCAGGCTGTGATTTCCTGATTCTTTTCTCAATAAACTCTCTCCCAAGACTCAAGACAGTTCTTTTGGGTAGTCAAGTAAATTCTAGCTGAGCACATGGCTCACTTACAACTAGCTGAGCACACAGTCATTAACATTTCCTAGCCTCCCTTGCAGCTAGCAATAACAAGGAGATAGAAGTTGAAAGGAAGCATGCAACTTCCTGATGACATCTTTGAAAGGAAAGGTGCTTTCATTTCAGAGGGGAGAAAACAAAAGTCCTTCAAGCAGCCCACAGGGTCCTAGACCAGTGCTTTCCAATAAATTGTCCATGATGATGGAAATGTTTTAGAACCTGACCAATGGGGTAGCCACTAGTCACATGTGGCTATTGAACACTTGAAACGTGGCTAGTGTGACTGAGTAGCTGAATGTTCAGTTGAATTTCATTTTAATTAGTCGAGTGGCAACCATTTTCCATAGCACAGCTCTAGATGATCGGCCTTGAGCCTTCCCAACCCTCTACCCCACAATGGAATTTACCTCCCATTCTTCCCAAAAAGAATGGCCTCCTTGCTACTGAGTACTCATGGGACGCTCCTTAGTTTTATTCTGGCTCTTCCCTCTCCCTGGAACACTCTTCTCCCAAGCATCCACTTGGCTAATTCCTGCACCTCCTGCAAGTCCTTGCTTAAATCTTTTACAATTTTTACCCTGACCCCCTATTTAATACTACAATCTGCCCCCAGCCCCACTTATATTACCTTGTTCTATCCTCCACCCCCATATCATTAGTGACTCTCAGACCTACTACACAGTTTATTTATATGTGTTCTTTCTGAATGAAAGTACCACAAGAGGCAAGATCTTTGTTTCATTTACTAATGAATCTAAAAGGCCCAGAATAGGGCCCAGCGCAGAGTAGTTAAGTAAGTTAAGTACTCAAGAAGTACTTGTTGAATAGGGGGTTGGGGAGACAGAAAGGAAACTGTTGCCCACCTCCTTCTCTCCTTCTTCCCTCTGGGTGGAATGAGGGGGTGGTGGGCTGCGACAGTTCTTAGACACAGTTGGAAGGAATGTATCAGAATGGCAAGAAAGAAGATTCAGCAGGGTGTGGGCCTCCACTACTGGAGAGCCCTGCCCTGCCTCTGCCCAGCAGAAATGCCCTCCTTGCCTAAGTCGCCATTATATTTGAAGCTTGCTTACAGCACCCCAAATGAACCTGCACCTGTTTAATGGGTTGAATCCCAGTTGATACTTCAGACAAGTTACTTTTATTCTCGGAGCACATTTCTTCATTTCCAAAATGAAGCAAAAAGTCACTTCCTGAGGTGCTCAGTGGCATCATGGAAGACCCAGACTCTAACACGTCCACCATAAATAGTAGCTACTCAGAGCTGCTGGACAGAATATAACTTGGGCATGTAAAGAGGCAGGCCCCTGAACTTCATGGGGAAGACCCAAAGCATCAGTGGGGATGTGCATGTGTCAGAGGCTGGGCAACATGTCCCTGGCTCTCCAGTGTCAGGGACACAGAACGGGAGTGGCACTCAAGCCCCAGCGTACCTTGTCGCTCCTCGGGGCTAGAGAAGTACCTGCTCTTCTCCAGCATCCCCCCAAGATAAGACCAAGGAACAGAGGAGCTTCCATTTGGTGAGGAAGAAGGGCCTGCAGAAGCCAAGGCACCGTCAATAATTCTAAGTAGGTAGAACCCGAGTCACTGCGGCCAGACCCTACTGGAAGCTCTTTCTTCCAATGAGGCAGGCACCGCCAGCTCCTACACTCCCACTGCAGCCCAGAGCCCAAGGCTAAGACCAAAGTCTCAGGACATGACCCTGGGGTCCCAGGATCGAGTCCCACATTGGGCTCCCCGTGGGGAGCCTGCTCCTCCCTCTGCCTGTGACTCTGCCTGTCTCTCATGAATAAATAAATAAAATCTTTAAAAATAATAATAATAATTGAGAGGCAAGAAAGTCACCACAAAGGGAAAGATGGATAAAAGGACCACAGGCCATAATGTTTGAGATTTTAAAAGTTTATCTCATTCCTAAACTTCCAGGTGGCACTGCCTAGGAGGAAGGCTGGGCAGGAATGTGAACATCTTAAAGACACCCAGTGATGCTGAACAAGCCAGTCTGTTTCCTCATTTTACAAAATGAGGGAGGTGAGCCGCATGGTCTCAGAGGACCCATCATGCTCTGACGCTGCCAGATCAGTTTGTCCCAAAGGCAGGTCTGAGGGAGAAGAAAACCCCCAGGGTTAATGAACTGGTGCTCAGAGCTCCTTGGGGCTGGGACATGCATCCATCAGCTGCCGGAGGTGTGAGGCTGCCTTGTCCAGCTTTGACAACTCCAGCTGGAGGGAAGAAAGCTAGATGGAAAGAGAAGCAGGTGAAGATTCTGATATAGGGCCACCCCCTCCAGCCCACGTTCCCTCAGGGAGTCAGGCTTCCCCCAGCCTTACCCTCTGCTGCCTCTTAGTCTCTTCCTCTCCCCTTGACGGGGTCCAGGCCATGAGGCCATCCAGTTGCTTCTGCAACTTGCGTCTTCGGGCAGCTAGCAGAACCAGATGGGCCTGGGGGTCCACCAGGCCCTGTGGAAGAACAGTGAGGGCTCAGCCTTCTCTGTGCCACCTGCATCTCTGCTTCACCCACAGCCCGTCCAGTACCTCCCTTACCCCATTTTCAGGAGTCTTTCTCACTTTTACAGAACCCACCCCTTGCCCTCCTCCTGACATCCGTTCGATGTCTCCCTTCCCCTTCCAATCTCCTCTCAGCACCTGTAGCTCCATGTACACCTGAATGGTGTTACTGAGTGGGGCCTGAGCCCAGCCGGAGGGTGCCACTACACCTGGGGGTAACAGGCCCACGGCCCCACAGTGGCCCAGGGTGGCCAAGGGTTCCAGGAAGGGCTTGAAGAGGCTCAGCTCTCCAGGCTCTGAGCTCTGCAGCAGTACTGAGGAGGAAAGGGCCACTGTCAGGGTCAAAGCATGAGACCTTGCTTCTCTTCCCACCCTGCCCCTCCTAACTCTGGGTTCTGTCCCCCAGGCTTGCAACGTGCCTCTGCCAACCCCTTCTAGCCACAGGGCCTCAGGAACCTAGGGCCCATCTCACCTCGGGGCCGGGCCTTGGTGAGCTGGTACGTGGCTCGGAGGGCCCTCAGTGCCTGCACAGCCTCCTGGACCTGAGAGAAGTGTTGTTCCAGCGCAGGCTGGCGCCAGTGCTCCTAGAGACAAAGACCCAGAGCTGACGAGCAGGATCCGGGGAAACTCACTATCAACCCTCCTGGCTGCAGCCCACACCTGCCTACCCCAGTCTCCACTACACACAATTCATCACCTCAAGCACAACCTGGGGCACATCTAAGATCTTAACAGATATCTGTGGTTGATGTCTGTTAACTGCTCTGATCAAAGATGTCAAACAACCAAAAGGAAATTAGAATTTCAACTGTGTTGCTCACAAAACCGAACAAGCATAAGAAAATTTAAACAGTTCAACTTTAAAATAATTTTGGGGGTGAGTTGGTCAGCATTTATTCTTCTGAAATTATTAAAGCTTAAAATTGCAGATATTTGGGGGCCATCCTATCCTTATCACAACTGTGACATGAACTATTACTACTCCTGGTTAAAGATGGCAAACTGAGGCACAGCCACATAGCAATGTAGTTCTGTTCTTGTACGCTGCCCCCAACACATCCCTGCAAGAACTACTCACCTCCCTGAAGACTCTATATTTAAGTCCACACCAAGACTGTTGATGACCCCAGGGCACCACACCCTTTGAGAAGCCGGCGCCCCAGCTGTTCACCAACGGTCCCGTCAGGGACATGTCACTCACCAAGCTGTGGGTGGTGGGGTAGGAAGCAACAGAGATGCTAGGGGCAGAGTTGCTGCCAGGCCTGGGGGGCAGCCTCTGCCAGAGCTCTTCAGCCAGGAACGGCATCAGTGGGGCAAGGAGGCGGAGACCCACATCAGCGCAGGAGAACAGGACCTGGGGTGGGCCTTGGGGATGGGGTGAGTGCGAAAGCACTGGCTTCACAGCTTCCTAGGGAGGAAGCCATAGGGTCAGGGGACAGGCCCAGGCCCCCTCCACATGTCCTTTGTCCACACATTCACTGCCCTGCCAGTGGAAAATGCTGTGGGTAAACAAGGGCGGGAGCACACAGAAGCCTGGACACCACTGGCAGTCCCAGAACACACTCTGGAGCAAATGAAAAGTGGAAATCTATGGCAGGGAGTCTCAGAGGTGGGAAGAGGGAATAAAACTGTCAGTGTGGTTTGTATACTTTAGAAAGAAAAAAAAGCACTGAATTTTTTGCCTATTAAAAAGAGACAGAGTCCTTTCCGCCCCCAGATGCCGCTGAGTAAGCATCGTTAGTCTCCCCTCCCACTGTCGTCAGATCTAAGCCAGAGTCTCCCAAAGAGCCTGAGCAGCTGCAGAAGCTCTTCATCGGAGGTTTGAGCTTTGAAACAACCGATGAGAGTCTGAGGAGCCATTCTGAGCAATGGGGAACGCTTACGGACTGTGTGGTAATGAGAGATCCAAACACCAAGTGCTCCAGAGGCTTTGGGTTTGTCACATATGCCACCCTGGAGGAGGTGGATGCAGCCATGAATGCAAGGCCACACAAGGTGGATGGAAGAGTTGTGGAACCAAAGAGGGCTGTCTCAAGAGATTCTCAAAGACCTGGTGCCCACGTAACTGTGAAAAAGATTTCTATTGGTGGCAGTAGAGAAGACACTGAAGAACATCATCTAAGATTATTTTAAACAGTATGGGAAAATTGAAGTGATTGAGATCATGACTGACCAAGGCAGTGGCAACAAGAGAGGTTTTGCTTTTGTGACATTGGATAATCATGACTCTGTAGACAAGACTGTCACTCAAAAACACCATATTGTGAATGGCCACAACTGTGAAGGAAAGCCCTATCGAAGCAAGAGATGGCTAGTGCTTCATCCAGCCAAAGAGGCCGAACTGGTTCTGGAAACTTCAGTGGTGGTCGTGAAGGTGGTTTTGGTAGGAATGACAACTTCGGTCGTGGAGGTAACTTCAGTGGCTTCGGTGGCAGTCGAGGTGGTGGTGGATACGGTGGCAGTGGGAATGGCTATAATGGATTTGGTAATGACAGAAGCAACTTTGGAGGTGGCAGAAGCTATGATTTTGGCAATTACAACAATCAATCCTCAAATTTTGGACCCATGAAAGGAGGAAATTTTGGAGGCAGAAGCTCTGGCCCCTATGGTGGTGGAGGCCAATACTTTGCCAAACCACGAAACCAAGGTGGCTATCTATGCCTGTTCCAGCAGCAGCAGCAGCTATGGCAGTGGTAGAAGGTTTTAATTACTGCCAGGAAACAAAGCTTAGCAAGAGAGGAGAGCCAGAGAAGTGACAGGGAGCTAAGTTTACAGCACATTTGTGAACTCAGCCGAGCACAGCGGTGGCAGGGCCTGGTTGCTACAAAGAAGACACGTTTTAGACATACTCGTGGGTATGGGCAAAAAACTTGAGGATCGTATTTGTGACTAACTGCATAACACATTATCTTAGTTTCTGTTCTGTCTAAAGTGTAAAGAGTTTTAATGTAGTTTTTTTTTTTTCTCGCACCCATGCTGTTGATTGCTAAATGTAACAGTCTGACCATGACACTGAATAAATGTGTCTTTAAAAGAAAAAAGAGCGGCGCCTGAGTAACTCAGGTCATGATCCCAGGGTCCTGAGATGGAGCCTCACATGGGATCCCTGCTCAGGAGCATGCTGCCCCCTCTCCCTCTGCCCCTCCCCTTGCACATGTCTCTCTCAAATGAATAAATAAAAAATCTTAAAAAAAATAATGATTCTGTAATGATATTTAACTTTTTTTAAAAATTTTTTATTTATTTAATAGTCACACTAGTCACACAGAGAGAGAGACAGGCAGAGACACAGGCAGAGGGAGAAGCAGGCTCCATGCACTGGGAGCCTGACGTGGGATTCGATCCCGGGTCTCCAGGATCGCGCCCTGGGCCAAAGGCAGGCGCCAAACTGCTGCGCCACCCAGGGATCCCCTGATATTTAACATTTAAAACAAAAAGAGACTGAACTCTCTGCCAGAAAATCCAATCTCAAGGGGAAGAGGAGGCAGGCATGCAGGAGTGGAACGCCACATTCCAGTCTAACTCACCAAGTAGACATCACAGAGGCTGTGGAGCCAGAAGTGGTGGAGGGCATGGGTGATGAGTGGCAGCTCCCGAGCAAGGAAGCCTCGCTCACACTCCTGGGCAGTGTGGGCCAGACGGCTCAGGATCCAGGCGTCCGTGGGGGATGAGGGGGATAGCTGCGGGTGGAAGACGACTTCAGGACAGGATCACTCCTCCTCCTTCTCCTCCAAATGTCATCTTCAACCCTCAAAGAACTAATGATTCTGCCTCCCAAGCCTCTCTTCTTATTCTCTTACCTCCTCTGCAGGCTGCGGTACAAATCCCTCTCCTAAGGCATTGAGGATAAAACGCAGGGCATTCCAGATTTTGTTGCAGAAATGCCGGGAACTCAAGACCTCAGAGACGGACAAGTGTACATCGCCCCCTGGTAGGGAGTGGGAGGAGGAGTATGCACATGGGTGGCAGGAGCACAGGGAGCCCTTGACCCTGCCCCACCCCTCTACAGGGGTGCCTACAATGCCAGCCCCTCCCTTGCTCAGGCTTACCCAAGGCCCCGTGGGAGCACAGGGCAAATCGCAGGGCATCTGTCCCACACTCAGGGATCCCATGAGGGAAGTCCTTCCTCTGCAACCAGAGGGATAAGAGGGGTGGCAGATGCCTACACAGCTGCAGGGACAGAAGCCTGGGCTGCAAAGGAAACCCAGCAGCTGCCAGCTCGAGGCTGAGAGAGGCAGATGCTGGGGACTCACCTGTCCCGCAGCCGCAATCGCCAGCTCGGTGGAGTCCAAGTTCCCGTCCTTCAGCTTTTCCTGCAGCACCTGGGATGGGTAAGCACTTCAGTGGCCTCGGTCAAAGACCCTGCCCCTACAAGGGTCCCACCTGCTCACTCTCCCTCCCAGCCGGCTCCTCTGCTCGGGCTCCCTTCTTCTGCCCCACAAACCCCATCCTTCACCAGACTCTTCATCCTGACCTGCAGTTCCACCCCACTGATGATGTCTCGTGGGTCCAATACATTCCCCAGGGACTTGCTCATCTTCCGGCCCTGCCCGTCCCGAACCATGGAATGAAGAAGCACCTGGGGGGCACAGAGGATGTTGGTAGAGGGGTTAGGGGAGCCTATCCTAGGAGGTGCCCAGGGGCTCTCTGGCCTCCATGTGTCAGGGGTTAAGACAGGAAATGAATCAGGAAAAAGGAATTGGGACCACAGACAATAGCACATTAGGGATTCGAACAGAGACCAAGATTTAGGGAAAACTGGGGAGTCAAAGATGGGCTGGGCACCTAAGGGCCATTACCTTGGTGAAGGGGAGCTGCCCTGTGAGCTGTGTCCCCAACATGACCATGCGGCCCACCCAGAACAACAGGAGATCACTGCCTGTTTCCAAAAGTGACAGGGGGTAGAAACGAGCAAGGTCTGGGGTCTAGGAGGAAAAAGAGAAGCAGTGAGAAGCCTAAGCCCATACCTGCAGCTCTTGAGGCTCACAGCAGGGGTGGGGGTGGGGGGCGCTACTGCCTCCTTCATCATCCCCATCTCCACCCTCTTCCTCTCAACCCGCCTCACCTCTTGGGGCCAGCCCAGGGCAGCAAAGGGGAAAAGAGCCGAAGAGAACCATGTGTCCAGAACATCAGGATCTGGGAAACAGAGTGAGGAATGGAGACAACTGGAACGTCGAGCGTACTGCTGTGCACCTTTCCAGCCCAACTCCAGGCAGAGAGACCATGGTCAGGCCCTAACCCCATTCCCAACCTCCCTGACCTCACCTCCTCCACCCTAGAGTCTGCTCCCCCTGAGGCTCAAATGCCCTCCTTTGCCCTCCACAACCCTGACACTCACCCCTCTGCAGGGTCAGCTCTGCCTCTGATCTCCCAGTCAGTTCTGCAGCTATTTTTCTGGCCTCGGTCTCTGTCCGCCCAACCACCCAACAGTCTTCTCTATCACCCTACAGAGAAAGTAAGGGATCAAGAAGAATGAGGAAGAACAGCACCCGCCAGGTGTGAAACATCACTGAGTTGCACAGTCTCCCTTGTGGCCTGGGAATTGCCAGCCCCCTCTGGCGGTGAGATGAAGAAGTGCCAGCTTGGAAGCGCCGATCCCACAGTGGGGTCCCTGCCCAGGACAGGCAGGGAGCTGGGACTGGCACTGGAAGCCCTCTGACTCCTGAGCTGTGGCTACTTCTCTTTCTACTATGCCCAACCCTCCCATCCTCTTCATCCTACCGACCTTCATGTGCTCCTCTACAACCAGGTAGGCGGGAATCCGATGGCCCCACCACAGCTGCCGGGAGACACACCAGTCCCTGCCCAGAGGACGAGAGGGCATCAGTGACTTCTCAGCATAAGCAGTGCATCACCCTGCCCCACCTCCACAGAGCTCCCCTTGGCCTTACCCGATGTGGGAAAACCAGTGCTGCCAGTTCTTCTGGTGGAAGGATGGACTGAGCTCCAGAGCCCCTGACTCCACGGCCTGAACAGAAAGGTCGTTAGAGCTTCCCTTCCTGCACCTCACTTGCGTCTGTCCCGAGATGGAACAAGTAGCCTCTGAGGCAGTGCTGTGACTCAGAAAGGACCTTCCAAGGCTCCCAAGAAGATTCTGAGGTCAAGCGGGAGATGAGCCAGCCCTTTCTGGGCCACCTTGCCTCCACCCCCAAAGCTCTCCTCTCAAATGCCAGGGCCAGAAGTCTGTGGGGCAGGAGGCCTCAGCCTCCTTATGTCTTCATTCCAATTTTCAGGGCCTTCCCAGTACCTGAGGCTCCGGCCTTCCCTGCACTTCAGCCTCACCTGGGCAGCTCGGTTCCCCATCTCCCGGCAGCGGACAAACCACTGGCTCTTCAGTAGATATTCTATCACATCCCCAGAACGGCTGAAAGAGAAAGGAGGAATCTGCTGCTCCTCAGCTTCTGTGCTTTCCCCCCAGGGGACACAGGACCCTGCTACATGCCAGGTCCTCAGAACTGAGGCTACATGCCAGGCCCTCAGAACTGAGGCTACAGCAGCCAGTAAAACTGACAGAGAGCCTCTGTTCCCTTGCAAGGGGTACAGACCCCACCCTATTGTACTCTTAAGCTTCTTCTACTCCCATCCACTCCCTTCCTAGGGAAGCCCTAAGTAAAAGTGTTAAAATGAGGTTACCTGCAAATAGGAAGCACCATGGGGTGGTTCTGGAGGCCCCGGAACAGGCCCCGCTCCTGCAGCGCAGACATAATCTTTTCCCGGGCCACAAATCGGTGAAGACCCTGGGGAAAGAATGGCAACAGTCACAGTTAGAGGTCACTAAAAAACAAGAAAGCAAGAGAGGGGAAGAGGTGAGGAAAGGCAGAGTGCCCCCCAAGGATACGGTGACAGTGAGGCCAGTATCACCTGTAGCCAGTCCCCACAGAGGGAGGTCATGGTGCCATCCTCCGCAATGACACTCAGAGGGCTCAAGCCGTGTCGGGCCCCCAGCTCAGCATCAGCAGGGCTATGCGCTGGAGTCACCTTCACTGCCCCTGGGGGAGCAGAACCACAGTGAGCACTGGCTCCCGGCCTTTTCCAGAGGTTCCGTCATCGCCCACCTCCCCGTCCCTCCTCCCTCTTCTCAGTCTCTGCCTCCTTTTCGTCCCACTAGCCACGGAAGCTGCCCTAAAAGAGGCTTTCCCTCCCCTCCTTCCTTCCTCACTCCTCCAGGATCCCCGGCCTGCTTTCCTTCCCATGGCCTCCACCCACCTGTGCCCACATGTGGCTGAACAGTGGAGTCTGTGATGAGGGGGAGAAGCTGCCCAGTCAAGGGGTGACGAAGCTGTCGCCCATGCAGGTGCTTAAAGGAAAGGAGCAAGGTCAAGGACAGGCATGTATGTGGAGTACAAAGGTCTGGGCCGAGTCTGAGAACCCTGGGAATCAGAAGGTGAAACCAAAAAGTAAAAAGCCAGAGCAGTGGTCTGTGAACTTTTTCTTATGGGGTCAGAGTGTATTTTAGCCTTTGCAGGCCAAGAGGCAAATTCAGCCTCTGCACACTTACTCTGCTCTGCCACTGCAGCAGAGTTGGGTATTGACACCCAGCTGCAGGTAATACCTAAAGGTGCAAGTGTGGATGATACAAAAATAGGCAATGGAACGGACCTGGCTTGCAGACCGCATAATTTGTCAACCTCTGAGCTAGAGAAAAGAAAAGGCATCATGAAAAGAAAGAGACACCGGAGAGCTGAGATGAGAGAAGTCTTAGGAAAAGAAAATTGAAGAAAAGAAGGCACTACCAACAGGGAATCCCTGGGTGGCGCAGCGGTTTGGCGCCTGCCTTTGGCCCAGGGCGCGATCCTGGAGACCCGATCGAATCCCACATCGGGCTCCCGGTGCATGGAGCCTGCTTCTCCCTCTGCCTGTGTCTCTGCCTCTCTCTCTCTCTCTCTCTCTCTGTGACTATCATAAATAAATAAAAATTAAAAAAAAAAAAGGCACTACCAACAGAAAAGAAGGGAAGAGTAAGTTATGGGGTAGGAAAGGCAGGTGGCAGACAGCACGCTGTGCATTACTGTGTATCGGGAGTCGTCGGGATGAACAGCCACAGCAACGTCTCCAGGCAACGTCTCTGGCCTTGTAGTTCCTACCACGACCTCTGCATCTAAAGACAAAATTTAAGCACTTGACACCAGTCATCACCCTGGTCTCCCACTCCCAGGGATGGAAGCAGCCAAGGTTGAGCAGGCTCCCAGAAGCAACTAGAGAAAATTAGGAGACTGGAATTCCCCTGTGAGCTGATGACCAGAAGCCTGGAAAGCTGTCTGGCGCTAAGGAATTTCTTGATAACTTGCATGGGGGAGACGGAGCATTAACAAAAGCAACCAGAACATTTACTTGGCACCCAGATAATACAGAGGTTTCTCGGTGCCCTAATCATAAATGCTATGCATTCTTAGGGGTCAGCACCAGGCCCTCCTTGAGAAACTTCCTCTGTCTTTTCCAGCTAATCTTTCTTCACTTTCTCTGAACTCTTCCAGACACTTACCGTTCAAACACACTTTGGAACGGACCTTTTATCTCTTTCAGTGGTACCAGCCTCCTGTAGAATTATGCAAAGCTCCTGGAGGGCAGCCACCATGTGTACTTTTCTTTCATGGCCCAGAACACCCAGAATAAGTGCCCATAAGAACACAAACACTACCAAGGTTCCTTATGTGCCTCCCACCAGGTCATGTGGGAAACAGGCTGGTGGGTTCCCTCCCATCAACCCAACACAGGCTTAAGAAAGCAGAGGGAAAGGGCAGCCCAGGTGGCTCAGCGGTTTAGTGCCGCCTTCCCTGCATGGAGCCTGCTTCTCTCTCTGCCTCCCTCTCTGTGTGCGTGTGTCTCTCGTGAATAAATAAGTAAAATCTTAAAGAAAGAAAAAAAAATAAAAGAAAGCAGAAGGAAACAGGCAACTTTCCCAAGGACTATCCTCACCAGGCTCTCCATCCACAGGGAAGGCCACAGACACAAGGAGGCCAAAAGACACAGGAGTGGGGCAGCCAGGCAGTTGAAGCTCCGTGTGGCCAGGCAGGGGCCGGCTCTCCACCTGGAGGAATCAAAGCAGCAGGGTGCTGAGAGTAGCCTTTCTGCAGGCTTCCCACCTCCATTCACCCACCGCCCTGGGCTCCCTACAGGCATCTATAGACATTCAGAGGATTGAGGACCCACCTTCCCCTCCCTTAAATCAGTCACAGTTACAGAAATATTCACCAAGCACTTACACCGTGCACAGGTATTGTGCTGAACACCTTCCATGAATTCCCATTAAATTCTCACAATGCCCCCTTGACACAGACATTTCCATCATCCCTGATCTACAAACTGGGGAAACTGAGGCTTCCAGGGGCTTCCAGAGGCCTGCCAGAAGTCACACAGCTAGCTGGTAGGTGGCCAGACTCAGTGAATCCTGGCAGTCTGGTTCCAGAGTCTGAGCTTTCTCCTCCTCTGCCTCACCTCAATATCCGAGATGGCTGATCTTAAAGTGCAGGACCAGTTGACAAGCTGCTGGCTCCGGTACAACAATCCTGCCTCGTAGAGTCGCACAAAAGCTTCGGTCACGGCCACTGAGAAGCCCTAGGGAATAACTTCAGTGTCCAGGGACCCAGGCATTCCCATCCTGCCACCCCCAACGTACATTACATCCCACTTGCCTACACACAACTCTTGACACTGCCTTGATACCCTCAGGTACCAAGTATGGAGCACTCACAGCATCCATAGTGAAGCACTCTCGGTCCCAGTCCAGGGAGGCCCCCAGAGCTTGGAGCTGCTCACTGATCTCTCCACCTTTCCTGTGCCCAGAGAGACTGTTGTCAGCAAACGTGTCCTGAGCACCAACTATGTGCCAGGCCCAGTGATACTCCCAGTAACGCTGGAAATTGGAATATGGCATTGATCTAGCTTCTCGAAGCCAATGGAGACAGACATACAAACTCAGCATGGGCCTTCCATGGCATTAAAAGAAGTATAAAGTTCTGGGGCGCCTGAATGGTTCAGTTGGTGGAGCACGCGACTCTGGATCTTGAGGTTGTGAGATCAAGCCCCACGTTGGGTATGGAGTTTTCTTGGAAGAAAGGAAGCAGGAAGGAGAGAAGGAAGGTAGATAGATAGATAGAATTCTACAATTACAGAGGGGGCAGCTCATCTGGGAAAACCCCAAAGAAGCTTTACAGAGAAAATGGCATGTGATAACAGACCTGTAAGAATGAGGGTAATTTCAAGCAAATGGAAGGTAGGAACAGATAAGTAGAAGACCTGGTGAAATCTAGGCAAGGTATCATGAAATAAGCAGAGAAAAAAATACACAAAATGCCCACACACACAAACATGTGTGTTTTAAAGTACGTGTAATACCCACACACAGACATACACACAGACACACACACAGCATGGAGACCCTGCTGAATGCTAAAGGAATCCAGAGCTCCCCTCTCTGAGGGAGAGCCCATCAAGTTAGGGAGAACAGCTGGGGCAATCTCGGCCCCTCCACTTCCACTGGTCATTACTCACTCATCCTTCCACTTCCACACCTCCCTAAGGAATTTTTCCCGGCTCAATTCATGTCTCCTCATTCCTCGCTCCTTCCACAGTTGCTTCTCCACCACAGCCTACAGTAAGATCAACAGGCAAGGGGACAGAGAATCAGGTCACTTTGGGGGAACTCTCCTCTACCCAAGGAAAGGGAAAAATGGCAAAATGCATACTTGTGTAGCAATTCCTGCATGATCTGAGCCAGGGATCCATAGCACCTGATCCCCACGCATCCGGTGCCTACAAAACAAATACCATTACGTGAACCCCTGAGCTTACACGTTTACACTCCTTCCATACTACCACACTTCCTCCTTCCCCTCCAAGGATGCAAGTAGCCCCATTCCCCTCTCACCAGCGCACCAGGGCATCCTGTATGGCTACTGTCAGTGCATGACCGATATGTAGGGAGCCAGTGACATTGGGAGGTGGGATACACATGGAAAATGTCTCCCCTGTGGCCTGGGGCAGCTTGGTCTAGAAAGTGGAAAAGTCAGTGAGCAAAAGATAATGGGAGGTTACCTGGGGGAATAGCACCCTATGGTGTCTCTAAGACAGAAAAAACTGGGGGGAGAGAGAAGGAGGAATAGTCCTGCAAACAGGAAAGGAGAAAACCCTTTGGACAGGAAGGGCAGAGGACAAGCTCTGCCAGTTTCCTTGGGCAGGCTGGCTGGAAGCTCGACTGTGAGGCTCAGCTGTGACCAGCAAGCTCAGTGGCCATTCTGCCGTGGGAACCGCTCAGCACCCCTCCCTCCCAGGTACTAACCTGATACTCCGGCTTGAAGAAGCCCTCTCGCACCCACCAGGAGTACCAGGCCGCCTCAACATAGCGAGGACTGTATGCAGGAGGCAGGAGGCGGTACACATCTGCAGCAGTGGCGGAAGGAGAGCTCCACTAAGTCCTGAACTTAGCAGCCCAAGCCCGCAACAAAAATGTGGGTGCAGAGGCCTTCAGGTACCCTACGTACCTTTCTTTTCGCCCGGTTCCGTGGGGACTTCATACAGCACTACCTCCTTAGGAGTCCAGGCCTTACTGGATCCTGCAGGTGCCTGGAGAGGAGCAGCAGAAGCGAGGGTGTGGGATGCCAGGTCCAGCGTACCCCGGGCAGGGAACCAAGGACAAGCTGCGTGGCCCCCTGACCTTGCCCTTCGGGGTGATCCCAGCCTCCAGCGCCATCTGCTTCTCCCGCTGGCGCTTCTGTTTGGCTTCATGGTTCCTCCGGGAGAGGGAGGACCCGCACGGCGCTGACTGGGTAGAGAGAGGGTGGGACCTGCGGAGGGCCTGAGAGGGCCTGAGCCCCCAGCACCGGCACGGAAGGGAGGCTAAGGGCGAATGAGGCATCAGGAGTCTGCAAAGGCGGAGCGGCGCTCCGGACCGACAGCGTTAGCAGCCGTGGGTGGGCGGGTGCGGCACGCCTGGTCCTCACGCCCGGGCCCCTCGCTCCCACACAGCGCCTCCCCGTGAGGGCCCGAGCGCGCGGGGTCCGGCTCGCTCGGCCGGGGCAGGCACTCGGGCATTCGGGGAGGTGGTCGACCTCAGGGCGCCCCGCCCCGCCCCCTCGGCTCCACCCGCACCCTCATCCGCCCCGCAGGCCGACCGCGCGCTCCCCGCGCCCGCCCGCCGCTGTCCCAGGGCGCCCCGCGGCCGCCGAGCAGGGGGCGGGGCCCCGTCCAGGGCATGCGCGGTAGCAGGACCCGCCCCGCGCGTCTCCCTCGGGTCCGACGACGGTTATGGCTGCGGGGGGCGGGTCCTCCGAGGAGAGAAGCAGCCTCTAGGGCAGGCGCTCGGGGCCGCGTGGCTCGTTTCCACAACTTTATTAAACCAGAGTCCAACACGTAAATAGCAAACACCAGAGTTCTGAGGCCGCCCCGCCCCGCCCCGCCCCGCCCCGCCGCGGTCCGAGCCGCCCTCAGGAGCTGTGCTTCTGCCGCTTCCAGAAGCGCTTGACGTCGCTGTGACCGGCCGGGGTCACCACCATCAGCCGCTTGGCCGAGTTCTCGAACACCAGCACACCCAGCTCCCGAGCATGGGCCAGCAGCAGCTCAAAGTCCACTTGCGACAGGAACTGGTTATACAGGACACCTGCAGTCCGCAGGGCAGGGGCAGGGGCAGCGGAGGGCCAGCGTAGAGAGAGAAGCCAAGAACGTGAGGCCCCTGCGTGGCAGCCTCGGGGCGGTGGTCTGCGCTTGCCAGCCACCTCCATTTCAAAGCTAATCCTCTATGCTTGTCTGTTCCAAAGCTCATCCTAACAGTAATTGATCCAGCCACATTCCGTAAGGCAATATAACACGGTAAGAAAACCCACTAATGCTCACCAAACCAGAGAAGCCACTGTGAATTATCCCTCCCAATTTCCCTCTTCTAGCTAAATCCCAACAGCACTGATTTGAGACAATTTACTACTAGACTCACCCCCCAAATAAAGTGTCCTGCCAGCTTTCCTCTCCCACCCCATGTAATAAACAAACCGAAATGCATGAATAGCTTTTTCTGTTCATCAAGGCTCAAGTGTCCTTCTTCGGGCCGGTGACAAGAATCAACCACCAGAAGCCACTCACCCTCAGTGAACCGGAGTCTGTCCCTTTCCAGCTCCCATAGCCGAATCTGGTCCGTGATGGTGGGTGGCAGCACAGGCGTCTGCAGGGGCAAGCAGTTGCTCTGAAGATTCAGGAATACTGTCCCAGACAACCCTAGCCATCTACTCATTCCCCAGATTTGGATGTCCCTTTCTCTTTTCCATCACTTCATCGCCAGATGCCAGGGGGTTCCAGCCTCCAGCAGCTTGGTACCTGTTTGAGCATCACCGGGTGGGCCCTTGTCCTTAAGAAATGGATGATCTGGGAAAACAGACAAGAATGGGATCAGGGGCTCAAGTAAGAAGGCAGGAAAGCTACCTAAGCTGTCACCTAATGTCACCAGAATACCAGCTTGCTGTTTAAAAACCTGCAGCCATGTGCCTATCATTAACCTATCCCCATTCAGCTGTCATCCCAAGCTGCTGCTCCCACTGGTCATGTCTGCTATTCCTTCTCTAGCACATCTGCCCTTTGCATAGTCTGGTTTTATTCTTCTTTCTTTAAAATAGCAGCAACTATTATTTTTTTGAGCACTTACTGCATAGCAGGCTCTGAGCCAAAGGCTTTACTGCTATTCTCTCATTGAATCCTTCCCAAAGCCTGTGAGGGAAGAACTGTTATGATTTCCATTTTCCAGATGACGAGAGTGAGGCTCAAAGAAGTGAAGCAACCAGGCCATTAATGCAGCTAGGAAGGGGTTGGTGGTGGAGACACAAATCTCTATCTCCTCCCCTTGTGTTTTTTCCCACGCTCAGAGCCTTGACTTCTCTTTATGTGCATGGTCTATGCTCAAACACAACTCGCCAGCCGATAGTAGCCTTCTGTAAGATGAGCTGTATCCCACAGCCCAAGTGCAGCCTATCTTCCTGCACCCACCTTCCCCAAGTGGGGATACCTGCTGGGCTGTGATGCCACTGGCGATGGCCTGCTGCACGCTCTCCCGGGTCACCTGTGCCACCACCATATTGGGGAAGCGATAGAGCATCTCTGAGAAGAGGGCAATGAGGGCGATCTGCAACTCCGACTCTGGCTCAGGGGTAGGAAGACAAGATGAGGAGGCTATCCCCATACCCAGACTCCCTCCAGACCTTGAAGTGTGACCCAAAATGTCAGAGAACTCTGTAAACTGCCAGGTAAACATGAACATGAATCGGCACTCCCTCCTGCGTCCTTCCCTCTCCCCACTCCCATTCCCAGGCTGCTGTCCTCCCAGCCCTCTCTGGCCTCACCAGTGTAGGCATATAGTCGGTAATTAGTTTCCACGATAATGAAGCCTGGCTGATGGGCAGTACCCCCAGCTCCAGAAACACCTGATGAGAGATTGATAGCCAGGCGTGTGGGGTAGTAACGCCGAGATTTCCTCTAGAAAAGACAGAAGGGAAAGGCAGAGGGCCCCCTCTCAGGTGTCACTAACCATATTCCTGCCTGAGATATCAGACCCCTCCCAAAGTAAGAGCCTCAACGCCCAATTTATCAACTCCAAGGAACCCAAGTACTCAGTCTGGCGACTTCTTCCTGGTACTGCCTCCTGAGATCCCATTCTTTTTTGTTTTTGAGTATAGATGATACAATGTAACATTAGTTTCAGGTACACAAAATAGTGATTCAAGAACTCTACATCTACTTATGCTATACTCACTGCCAGTGTAGCTACCATCTGAGACCCCACCCCCTTTTTAAAAGCCAAGGCAACAGACCACCTTGCCTTTCCTAGAAGCCATTTATCTGGGTGCTCATACCTTCCTCTGGAAAACAAGCCCAAACTCACGCAGATGTTGCAGGAAATTCAACAACGAATCACTCATACCTTCCACAGAGTAATCCTGGGGAAGAGAAGTGGCCAGTTGGGGTCCAAACACATCCCATTCTCCCCCTTCCCAACCCCATACTCTCATTCCCTCTTTTCCCATCTATGCTTTGTTCATTTTTATCTTTCACACTTTTGCCCATAACCTGACGTCCCCCCTCATCTCTCTACCTACCAGCCTGCCCACCCAAGCCTCCAGCTCCATCCCCCTTGCTTACCTTGCCCAGAGTAGAGAAGCTAAGCTGGAAGAGGAAGGATAGAATCTCCACTAGGTCCATGCCCCGACTCTAGGGAGGAATGGTCAGAGACAAAGGGGCAGGGATGGAAGGGAGAAAATGAGGGGACACAACATCAGGAAACAGTCTGCGAGGGTAGTCTCTCATGGTTCTCGCGAAGATCAGAGCATGCCAGCAAGCCACCTCCTCACCTGGGCTGTCTGCAGATATTGCAACATAAAGTACCACAGTTGGGCAGGAGTGTCCAGCAACAGGAACTGGAAGCCGGCTGAAGTAATGCAGGGTGGCTCTCCAGGTTCAGTGCTGGAGGCAGAGAGGGACCATGGCAGAGGTATGCAAAGAGAGGCCATCGTCCCCATTTGTCCTCGCATTTTACCTTGGTTTCTCTCTGGCCATACTCCACTCAGCTCTCCTTTTTTAGTTAACTGCCTGCAATCCTAACCCACCCTGGACACACAGTTTAGCAGGGATCTGATGCACCTCTGGTTTCCTCACCTCTTCATGAGCCCAGCCTGGCTGAGGAGCTGAGCCAAGTCCTGGCTGACGGCTGCACTGGGGGAGCCCACCATGAAGTGCAGGACCACCTGAGGAACAGAAGTGGACAGAGAGAACAATGCCTTTAAGGGCCATGGGATGTAGGAGTACAAGCAGAGACACAGAGTCCCAAGTCCTCACCTCCCATCGCTCCTCGGCGTACTTGTCAAGTGAGGGAACATCCCGGGCGTGCTTGTCTGGACCCAGTTGACTTGTGTCATCAGACCAGGCCTTGCCCCTATGCCAGGATGGGCCAAGAATAAGGGACCCTGGCTGTGTTCCCTGCCTGCTCCTCTGCTCTTTCCCCCTTCATCCCCATGGGCTCTGAGTAGGAGACACTTCTTTCCTACATCATGCAGCTCCATCTTGTCCAATTTATCCCTAAAGGAGCTCCCAACAGTGGAGCCCACAAGGTTCCAGAGAGGCTCCTCAAGGGCTCTCTGCCCCATCGCTGCCAACCCCACTGCTAACAGTTTAAATACTAGTTCCCCTGGCCTAGCTTAGGAAGATGGAAGTGACATACCCACCCAGAAGGGCAATGCGGAGGTTCTGGCGGAAGATGGGGTTGAGGATGAGGCCCTGGAGACCACCAGGGAGCAGCTGGGTGTGCCAGATACGGAGACCACTCAGCAGTCCTGTACTTTCCTCCTGAGCTCTGAAACAGAAGCAGAAGGGTTAAGGGGGTGTCTGGAGAATAAAAAGAAGGAGGCCCATAAAGGCCTCCATTTCTGCCTTTCCTGAACTGATCATCCCTTGGAACACCGTTTCACACAGAGAAAACAGTGTCTTCTTAAGGCAGATTTCTTTACTGCCATGCCTACCAGAACTTTGTTGAAGACATCACAACTTTCCGGGAGGGAAAATAGAGTATGCAGAGTTTCCCAGACTTGTTTAAATGTAAGTGTTGTGGTATATCCATTAATATTTCTTGGAAGTGTTCCAAGGAACACCTGGAAGATCTAGTTGCTGAGAAATCTGTATCTGGCTGAGCATGCTGCAAAGACTCACTTGCTGAATTCCTTCTTCACCCACAGGGCTACAGCAGCTTGTGGCAAAGGCTGCTCCAGAAAGAGCATCCGCATCACCCAGTTCTTAGCCAAAAATGGGAGCTCCCTGTAAGGAGGTAGAGGTAAACTGTTAATATCAGAAACTGCCTTACCTGTATCTCTGCCCTCAACAGCCTCTCAAACATCTCATCCCGCCCACAGCTTTACCAGTCTTGCTGTTCCCACTCTGTTTTGGCTTGACACACTTCAATCTTCAAGCCCCAGCAGGGCTAAGCTTCAAGTCATGATAACTTATTCCAGCCTGAAGGCCCCATTACATTTGGTCCCTACCATGAAGGAGGTCCTCACCTGAAGACAGCCAGACAGGTGGCAGGATGCCCATACAATCGGTCCAAGACACCAGGGCTCAGGCCCCCTAGGAATTCCTGCAGATTCCTGCATTGTAGGTGTACTCGGTTCAGTCCTCCCCTTGCGGGGCTGCTCTCCATCACCTGAGAGATGCAAGGTTAGAAATGCACCCCCACAGTCCACGCCAGTGTCATCCCTCACCTCATTCCCGTTCCAGACCCACTGGCCCCCACAATAACCTGTACTTTCTATGATTTCCTTTCTATGTCACTCATCTCCTTTCCTTTCTCCCAGGCCTGACCAACCTCCTCTCCTCTCTTGCTTCCTTGCCCCACTTCTGGCCTCAACTCCAGTTTTCTCTCTGTTTCCAAATAGAGAATTGTTCATTGTCCCACATTTGCAGAATCAGTTTTTACTTCAATGTTTACCTAAGCAGTGACGCGGAAACTAGTTTCAGACCAGCCCTCCCCGGGCTCCCGGCTCCCGTCAGCTCAGTCCATGAGCTCGCGTTGGCCAGTCCTTCGCACCTACCTCCCGGCCCCGTTGGTCCTGCGCTGCCTGCCCGCCTGTCCTCCTTGCCCCGAAGGACCGCACCCGAGCACCCGGACCCACACCGCCCCGGCTCCTGTCCCCCGCCCCCGGCCCCCTTCCTCCCTCCCGCCTGAGTCGCTCCCCCTCGTGTACCCGGAGTCGCGAGGCGTCGCTTAGCCGGAGCTACGGTCCCGCCGTGCCTCCCAGGAACAGGAGAATGGACGAGGGGAATGGAGAGAGGGACAAAGGACCGCACAGGAGACCAGGCGGGAGGACTGAGGCGAGAAGGAAAGGAGGGGAAAGAGTGGGAAAGTAGGGAGGTAAGAACAGGCGCGGCACTCGCTCGCCCGCCGCGGCGTATTCTGGGAATTGGAGTCCTGTCCTGGCTCGCCCCGGCATGGGCCGAAGCGTGGCCGACTACAATTCCCAAAAGGCACCGCCGCCGGGAGGGAGGCTGGCCTTTAATTGAGAGAGCCGAAGAAACCCGAGGCCGCGCAACTTGGTTCCGCGCCGGGTTCCGCTCTCGCCGCCAGCGCCTGGTTTAACCGACCTGGACAGCGGGCGGGATGCTGGGAGGAGAAGTGCCCTGGGGCTTCCTGGCAGAGGTGCGGACCTGGCTCTTAGCGACACGCTTAGTGGAGAGACGCGGCGAGGTGCGCTCCTTGAGCTCTTTGCCGCTCGTCGAGTCGGAGGAAAGCACTCCGTCTAGAGCGAGTTAGGGTTGGCGCTGCTCCACGCGCTCAAAACAGCCCTAATGCCACTTCCCCGGCTCCCACCGCCCCGTTTCTGCAGAACATGCCAATCAACACAGCTGTCGTGAAGAAACCAGTTGTTGGTCTGGTCGGTGGGTGAGGCTGGGGCAGGGCCGGGGGACGTCCTAAGCCAGAGCCAGGGCTGCAAGCAGGCCGTATGGTTCCCCTGCTGCAGACGCGAGACGGAAGGCCCCACCGGACCGTCGGCCGGGACGCACCGAGGCCGGGGTTTGCGGAGCCCCGCGCAGCGCACCCTGCCTGCCCGGCCGCTCGGCCGCGTCTGGCTCTGTCCTTAGCGGTCGGGGCATCACATCCGCAAAAATGACACGAAACTGACAATGGCTAACGGTAAGTAAAATAAGAGACAAATTAGTCTGGGAAGAAATATTTGACAAAATAGACAATACAGCGAGCTTTTACAAAGCAACAAGGAAAGGACAGAATAGAAAGATTGTACAAAGACGTAGCAGGCAACAAACAGAACAAATATAAATTGTTTATAATCAAATGAAAAAGCTCTCATCAGTAATTAAAAGTAAATTTAAAAAATAAATAAAAGTAAATTAAAGAAACAATAAAATATCTGATTAGCAAAAAAAAAAAAATTAAGGATTGGCAGCCTCGATGTTGTCACTGCAAAGGGAGCATACAGTAGTCATATACTTTTGCTGAAAGTTTACATAGTCACACCTTTTAAAGGCGGCTTTGTACCTACCAATTATTTTACCGCGACTGCCATTTGACCAACTCCACCTTTAGAAATCTATCACACCGAAATCCTCCCACATGGATACAGATACACACGCAAAAGTATTGAAGTGTGTCTGTTACTGTTATGAAAGCAATGGAAACCGGGGCCCTTGAGTGGCACAGATGGTTAAGCATCTGCCTTAAGCCCAGGTCATGATCTCAGGGTCCTGGGATGGAGCCACACATCAGGCTCCCTGCTCAGAGGGGAGCCTGTTTCTCCTTCTTCCCCTCCCTCTGCTTGTGCTCTCTCAAATAAATAAATGAAATCTTAAAAAAAAAAAAAAAGAAAAGAAAAGAAAAGAAAAAAGAAAGCCATGGAAACAGCCCAAATGTCCATCATGGGGAGTTGGTTAGATAAAATGTGGGTCATTGCAACAATGTAGAGTAGTGGGCAACACTTAGAGCACTGTATGCATAGTGGCTGAGCTGTGTACAGCCTCAGGAGGGGAAGAAGAGCAGATTGCAAAGTGGCATGCAGAACTTTTATCTGTGTGTAAAACTGAAATAGGTCATGTGCTTCATTTTGACAGGAGCAAGCAAGGGGAAGTTTTGCAGACCAGCTTTAAAAAGAGAAAACTCTTTAAGGCTACTCTGTCCAGGGGTGCCTGGGTGGCTCAGTCGGTTGGGCATCTGCCTTCAGCTCAGGTCATGATCCCAGAGTCCCAGGTTGGAGCTCCACATTGGGCTCCCTGCTTAGCAGGGAGTCTGCTTCTCCCTCTGCTCCACACCCCACTCATGCTCTGTCAAATAAATAAATAAAATCTTTTTAAAAATAAAAATAAATAAAAGGCTGCCCTGTCCAGAACAGGAGCCACTAGACACCTGTGGCTATTTAAATTAACCAAAAATTTAAATTCAGTTCCTCAGTCACATCAGCCCCATTTCCAGTTCTCAATAGCCACAGGTGGCTAGTGGCTACCTATTGCATGGTGCAGATACAGACCAGTTCTATGATCACAGGTTGTCTTGGAGAGTCCTGCTTAAAGGGATGCAGTGAATGGGGGCAAGTTATCTGATGTCAGGAACTGAGTACAGGTTGAGTTTCTGGAGCTGGATAATCAGCCTGCACTCCTTGGAGCTTCCCAGCATAGGATTATCCAACCTGTGATGGAGAGATCATAACCTTCTCCCCTCAGGCAGCACCCTGGAGAAAAAGAACAGCCAGGAACCTATGGGCTGCTTCACACTAGCTTTGCAGTTTCCTGGCTGTGTGGCCTTGAGCAAGTTGCTTAAAATAGAGTCTTTTCTGTGAAATGGCAGCAACTTTAACTGTTTCATCTGTATTAAATAAGGTATAATATGTAATAAGCATGGTCCTGGCACACAGGAGGTACCCAGTAAACATTATCATTATTATTTTCTTTAAAAAAAAAAAAAGGTAAAATCACACCTGTATTAAGTACTATAAAGAAAGTCAAATGCTTTGAGAGCATCAAGAGGGGATTTGATCTGACGGGCCAACTCGGGGAAGATTGCTGAAGGACAAGCAGGACGTAACAAGGCAAAGACCGCAGTGAACTATGTTCCTGGGAGGGGTACAATATTCTGCAGAGGCCATGGCAAGAGGGACTGGCCCAGTTGTGGGAACTGAAAGCAGGCCAATGCTGTATAAAGGGCAGCTTGGAGAAGAATGCTGAAAGAAGGGGGTGGGGAGCAACTTGGTCAGGAAGGTTTTGTTCTTTATTGTAAAATCAACAGGAAGCCATGAAAGGATTTGAAATAAAGTAGCAGGGTGAGATTTATATCTGACTGCAGTCAAAACAAACCATAGAAGAGCAGGAACAGGGGATCCCTGGGTGGCTCAGTGGTTTAGCGCCTGCCTTTGGCCCGGGGCGCGATCCTGGAGTCCCGGGATCGAGTCCCACGTCGGGCTCCCTGCATGGGGCCTGCTTCTCCCACAGCCTGTGTCTCTGCCTCTCTCTCTCTCTCTCTCTCTCTCTCTCTCTCTGCATCTCTATGAATAAATAAAATCTTTAAAAAATATATAAAATAAAATAAAATAGAAGAGCAGGAACAGACCCTGGGAGACTATTATGGTGGCCTGGGCAGGATGGAGGTAGTGTATGCAGGACGGTGATGGAGGTGGAGAGAAATGACAAATTTAAGGAAAATCTGGGAAGCAAGATCAACAGAACTTCATGATAGGCTGACCTTGGAAGGGGAGAGGGGAGGTGTATCAAGGATGTTCCCCAGGTTTTTGGCATGTGCAGCTGAGTGGATGAGGCTGCTATCCACTGACCCAGGAAACCATGGAGGAAGGAGCAGGTTTGAACACTGAGACAAGTTCAAATGAACTCCCAAGTGGTTGTGTAGGTCTAGAGCTTTGGGAGTTCTCAACTCACTGCCATGGCTTCTGTTATTCACCATTCTGGGTTCTGGCCTCTAACCTCCTGACCTGATGAGCACTGGATGTTATACTCTATTTTGGAAAATAGAATTTAAAAAAAAATTTTTTTAAGTAAAATAAATAAACTTCTGACCTGTCAACTTGTGTCTTAAAACATGGGTCACAGTGGTTGGACCTACATAGGTTTCAGCAGGATCTGTGACCGGACCCCAAGGGGCTTTTAATTCAACAGAAGATTAAATTATTTCTATTGGCATCTTCATTATCTAGTTGGCCCACTCTGTGAGTATCATCAACGAAGACCCCAGGGTCTTTATTTCACATAAACTTCCATCAAGATAGGTCTGCCTTTTCCAATACTTGCAAGTGATCTTTTTTCCCTGACCAACTTAAATTCTGTTAAATGCTCTCTTCGTGGTTGTGGCTCATCCTTCCAAACCTCTGAAATAATTTAGGCTCTTGATTCTGGCTCCCATCCAAACAGATCACATCTATTGAGTTATCTGTACATCTGAACAGCCTAATCCAACAATTCTCTGCCCAGGACTTCCAAACCCTTGAAGGAGGTCCTAGAATTAAGGCCAAAAAAACTTACACGTCTATTTTTATTACCCTCTAACAGAAATTTAGCATTTCTTCCAAGTATGAATATGAGCAAAACCCCCAGTAGTATTAGCAGGACCTGGGACTTGTCACTGAGACACCACAGCTCTTTTTGTATCCCACTACCTTTGTAGAAATCTCCAAATGTTGAGTATTTTTTTTAAGATTTTATTTCTTTATTTATTCATAGAGACAGAGAAGCAGAGACACAGGCAGAGGGAGAAGCAGGCACCTGAAGTGGGACTCGATCCGCGGTCTCCAGGATCACGCCCTGGGCTGCAGGTGGCGCTAAACTGCTGCGCCATCGGGGCTGCCCAAGTGTTGAGTATCTTTTATGCTTATGACTATTTGGAAATGTTAGTAGTTATTACACCTGCTGCTAGATAATTGTTACCAAATATATTTTAAAAACACATAGGTTACTGTATCATACACTATTTAAACATTTTAGTAAACTCAATTGATCTCTTCTGTGATCATATATGAGATACACACATTTTTGTGTGTATATGTAATGGGTTTTAAAACAATTCTGAGGAGGCACTAGTAGACCTACCTCTCTAGTCTGCCAGAGGGATTGATGGGTCAAACAAGGTTAAGACCCTTGCCTAATTTGGCCCCTTCCAAGCCTCCTGAAGAGCTTACACTAGAATTAACAAGGAGCATACATTCCTATAGGATGTGAGGTCCCACAGGCAAGGGCCTGGCTAACAGACACTGTGCTGGGTAAGATACACGATAGGAAATGGAATGAGGAGAAGGAGAAAAAGGAAGAAACGAAATGGAAAGGAATTGGGGGCAGACACAGGAAGCAGATTTTACCAAAATGCTAAGAAACCCACTCACAGCTGTGGAAAATTCAACCTTTATTATTACCTGCCTAGTGCAGGATATTAAAATTGCATTGAGCTAGAACCATATATTAGTGTAAAAATCTGTGTCTCTCCCCCCAAAAATGTACAAACCCCAAGTGAGTATAGAAAAACCAATATGGCAGCTACAACAGAGATGTCCAACCCCAAGGCTGCAGGCCATTGCTCCCTCTTTCCCCCTAACCCCAGTATTTAATCCACAGAAACATATAGGCTTAGAGAAGTTCTAGCTACAACACAGCAGGTGGGAAGTGGGGATGGCTAGGGGTAGGGGACAGGGATCACCCCTAGGTCCAGTGTTTCAGAGGATGTTGGAGGGAGAAGCCAAAGACAAGGACAATTCCAGGAGTTAGCACAAGGGAACATGTTTCTCCCTTTCTTGTCCTCATTCCTCAGATTCTCAGCCAATGGGATCCAGTGTGCGACGGAAAGAGAGAGGCTAGGGGAGCCACAGCCTTCTCTCTAGGAACCAGTGTTGTCCAATGGGGCCCAGGTGCTCCAATAGGCCTTATCCAGTGTCTGTCCTATATGTGCCCCCATCTCCCCCCTCCCCAGGGATGGCTAGAAGAGGTCAGAGAGGATCCCATCCACAGGGCCAGCTGGGTGGGCAGCAGAGGCTTCCAAGAGAGGAGCAGGGAGGGGGCATGAGAGTATGTCCCTGGAAGGGAAGGCATCAGCTCCCTGGCAGGCCCAGCCCACCTCTGGTCACACTGCCTCTCTCTTAGAGGTGAAGGGTGGTCAGGACAGAGAACAGAGTGGGGGTGCCATTCAATTCCCTTGCTTATCGCCTCTGGTTTTGCCTTAATCCTCCCTGAGGAAGGGGCGGCTGGGTGTGATTCACACCGTGTTGAGCGCATCTTCCGCCAGGAACCGATGTAGCTGGGAAAAGGATGGTCGCTGCTCAGGCTCCCGGCTCCAGCAGCGGAGCATCAGCTCATACAGGCCCAGCGGGCAGGAAGGGGGCCGAGACAGGTACACCTGCATCATGGCAGGGTGGATGAAAGGCAGGGAACAAATGTTCTTTAGTCCCCAAGATAGGCTCTGGCCCTCCCAGACCCACAGCCCAATCTTCCCTCTCCTCTGCTCTGACCTGACGGCCCTGATCCCGGAAGAACTCCCCTGCATTCTCAATGACTTGCTCATCAGTGAGCTGTCCAAAGGGCTGGGCACGGCAGAGCATCAGCACCTCCCACAGGGTCACCCCAAAGGCCCACACGTCACTTGCAGTTGTGAACTTCCCCTGGTGTGTGGATAAAGCAACAAAGACAGAGAAAGGCATCAGGCAAACAGACCCTCCTCCCCTCCCACAGGGAGCTGCATGTCCACTCAGCACTTCCCAGGGCCTGACTCCCCCTGGCTGGCCCCCTCCCAGCAAGCCTGCTCCTCTCTCCTTTGTGCTCTCCCTTCATTCTCAGGCTCTAGTCCTCTCCTTGACCTCTTCCCTCTTCTACCCACCCTTACTCTTCACCTTGCCCCTCATTTTCTGGTCGTGATTCTCTTCCAACTCATGCCCTTCTATCTCTAGCCTCCTGTCCCCCCTTACCTCTCTTGCCCTCTGCCACCCTGACTCCAGCTCTTGTACCCACTCTTGGCTCCTGGACCCTTTCCCATTGTACCACTCCTCCCTGCTTTCTCTGGTCCCTAGAGCCAGAGGCAACTTCCAGAGCACTGGCCCAAACCCTCACTTCATAGATGAGGGAACTGCAGTCCAGGGAACGCAAGTGACTGACTGAGACCACACAGCAGCCAGTGCTCCCCTGCCTGCCGCTGCCCTCCCCTGCCTACCTCCCTCAGGGTCTCTCACCATGAGGATGCACTCCCAGGCCATCCACCGGATGGGCAGCACCGCCCGGCCTTGCACGCGGTAATAGTCCCCAGCGTAGAGGTTCCGGCTCATGCCAAAATCAGCAATTTTGATGGTGAAATTTTCCCCAACCAGGCAGTTCCTTGTGGCCAGGTCCCGATGCACAAAGTTGAGTGTGGCCAGATAGCGCATGCCTGAGGCAATCTGAGCCGCCACATGTAGCAGCATGGGGTAGCTGAGGAAGGGAGCCAACAACAGGGGGTCATGGAGGCAGCCTCAGACTCATCCCCAGTCACAGATCCCTAGGAGAGGAAGGGAGGGCCCATACCCTGGGACTGGGTCACATCTACTCCTGGTGCAGAGTTGGAATGCCCATGTTGAGGGCCCAGGGGTAGGTGCCCATTCAACATCTGTTTGGCTCATCTGACCCAGGGAGCTACTGCTTTATTGTCTGGACTCAGGCAGTGAAAGTGAGAGAGAGCAGAGGGAGATTCTCAACAGAGTTCACATCCCTTAGCACCCCCACCATAGTAACTTCTGGCCTTTTGCTCCTTAATGCCCAGATGGATGGCCATATATTCCTCATCCCAGTCCCCACCTCCCTGAACCTTAGCCTGCCTCTCCATCCTGTGCTCCCCTCCCTCCTCCACATTGGAGTGAAGGGAGAGGAGACCCCCTCCCACCGGGGAGCTCTCAGGGGAGGGCCAGCCTGGATGAGGGGGGTACCTGATGGTGGGCCCCTGGGCAGCCTCCCTGTCCCTGGGGGCCCCCTCAGCCGCCTTGTCTTCTAGCTGGTGGGCACTGAGGAACTGGTTAAGGTCACCATTCTCCATATAATCAGTAATCATGCAGAGGGGGTCATCCTGCACACACACGCCCAGGAGCCGGATGATGTTTGGGTCCTTCAGCCTCGACATGATCTTCACCTCCTTCAGGAAATCATTCCTAGAGAAGGCAGGGAGACAGCAGGGACACTGAGGGGCTGACCTATACATTCTCTCCTGCTCACATAGACCAGCGCCCTAACCCCAGCAGATAAGCTGACTCACTAGTGACACTGAGACTTGGCCTGAGATCAGCCTGAGATGGCAATTTCCTTCCCCGGCCAAGCCCCCTCTGTTGGTCGCTACCATGTTTCTCTCTAGATAATTCCCCACTCTTCACTGCCTCCCTTCTCCATCACCAGATATCATTCCCTGGTCCTCACCTGGCATTCTTGGTGGCATCTGGCCGTAGGATCTTGACAGCTACCAGTAAAGGGTGTCCCTTGCACACATTAAGGGGAAAATCAAGACTGACCAGATCTTGTGGGTTCTCTACCTCACACAGGTGCACCTGGGGAAAGAAGTTCGTTTGTTAGGAAGTCACATGGTTCACTGAGTCACAGGGTCAACTGGGATAACACAGACATAGATGACAGGTTCTGACCAATGGCGACATATGGGCATGGCATCAGAGCCCCAGACAGCCAAGACACTACTGATAGCTAGCCAGGGATCCTCCTTACCTCCCCAAACTGGCCCTCGCCAAGCTTCTCCTTGAAGCGGAGCCGAGATCGAGGGAAATCCACTCTGGGAGGCCCATCCCCGGCAGCCCCTGGGGGCAGCGCGGGCACAGCATAGGTGTTGCCCCCGGTGACGCCCTGCAGGGTGACAATGTCAGCCTCGGCATAATGGGGGACGCTGTTCTGGGGAGGTGGGGGCAGAAGTGGGGCACCCGGCTTCTCAGGCTCCATATAGTCCCCACTGCAGGCTGGAAAGGTGAGGGGAAAGAAGACAAGACGAGGCATCAGGAGCAGCACCTGAGAGCCATGGTTCTCCATACCCCCGCCTCCCAGAGAACCCTCGTCTCCCAGCTGGGTGAGAGACTGGGGCTATCCTTCATCTTCTTGGTATTCTACCCACCAACCTCAAACCAGCAGAGTCGCTGGCATGAGATGAGAGTGAGTTGTTTCAGAGTTTAAGGCAATGGAAATGGCTGAACAAAGAATGATGTAAGGTCCATTCTCTAGGGATCCCAGCATAGCCCAAGAGACCAGGACCCAAGTCTTGACTGGAAGAGGAATTCCTCTGTCCACCATCAGGAGGAGGATGGTGCCAGTCATCTAGTCACCCCCTACTTTCCAAACCCTTGTCCCACTCACTGCCAGTCCCTCCTGTTCACTTAGCTGTTCTATCTACCTACCCCACCCCCGCTTTCAGCCTTGGTTCCTCCCCACCGTGGTTACCCAAACCCTCCCTGACCCAACACCCCAAGCTCAGAGATAAGCAGAGACAGGGGCACACAGATGGGGGAGAAGGAACAATTCCTCACAGCCAGCACAATGAGGAATCTACAGACAGAGGAGAGGAAGCAGAGCCGTCCCCTCTTAGCCCTGGGGAGGGAGCGACAATGAGAGAAGGCAACACCAAGGAACAGAGGAGCAGACAAGAAGGGTGGGGTGTGAGCCTTCACCTCTGGGACTGCAGAAAGAGAATACATGGGGGGAGAGGACAAGCAACCAGGGTGAGAGGCCCTCTTCCTCACAGCTCTAGAGAGAGGGGAAACAAAGGAGGAGTTATAAAAGAACCTAGGTCAGCACAGCAACCTCCTCTCTGGCTCTAGAAAGCAGAAAAGATGGGGTGGAAGAGGAAGAGGAGGATAGAGCTTTGAACCAGTGAGCTTTCTGCTCCTCTGCGCAAGGGAAAGGCCTCAAGAACAAGTACAGCAGAGGAGATTTCAGGGCATAAGAGCTTCCTC